GGCTTGCTATAAATTGCCTTTAATATGTTTAGGTATGTTCCCTGTATTCCTGATCACTCCAAGACCTTTATCATGAAGGTGTGTTGGATTTTGTCAAATGCCTTTTCTGTTTCTAGTGAGATGATCACATGGTTTTTTCTTTGAGTTTGTTTATATGGTGTATTACATTGACAGACTTTTGTATGTTGAATCACCCTTGCATCCCTGGGATAAAGCCTACTTCATCATCTATGTCATCAGAAGTCACTGTATGCTCCGTTTCTTTGGACAAATAATAATAGCAGGTTTTCCCCTAAGCCCAGGACCTGTCTGTCTAGTCTCAGGTTCTTGTCTACTTCACAGTGTCAGAGATAAGCTTCATCTCATGTAGTGACCTTCAACCTGTTTTTAAGGTGGTTGGTTACAACCGTCACATCTGTACCATTATTGTACTGTCTATCTTGCAGGCATGTTTCTTCTGGAAGTCACAGAATTTGTAGCTGGTGACACTGGTTACTCTTCTCCTCTAGAGCATGCAAAGTGCCTTCATGTACCATGGATGTTAACAGTGGGGGTGTGGATTCTAACTGGGTACCTGCTTGATTTCTCTGTGTTCAATGACATAGGCAAGTGGGATTTTCAGCAGCAGGGTCCTACTATCGGGTTATGGATAGCAACCAACAGCCTTTGAAATAATCTGTGATGTTTGAGGAGATCTATCGGAATTCTTTTGACCAATGACTCACCATGATGTCATCCATTCCTGGCACTCAAGGTGACATGTTACTTGGTGACATAAAATGTCTTGTTGGGGAATTGTCTCCCTCATTATATTGTGACTCCATTTAAATTACTCTCATGTGTGTATATATTTTAGGGTGCTTCCATGGTAGTAAGTTTGTGTATGGCTTTTCAAAAGGCCTTTAGTACTAGGTGTCCCTCCCCCTTATTCCCTCCCTTACCTTGTCCTCCTATCCACATTAAATTCTCCCACTCAGGTTTTCCATTTACCTATTTAGAACACTATACTCTGATTTCTCCTTCCTTGAAAGGTCCTCTCATCACCTCTGGTCCCTTACTAACTGCCTAATGTCTGTTGTTATTCAGATTGAGTACTCATGACTAAAGCTTAAAGCCAACATCCCCATGTAGAAGAAAGCATGCACCATCTTTTGTTGTTTGGGTTAACTCAGTCAGAATAATTGCTTCTACATGCGTTCATTTAGCTGAAAATTTATTTTTTCTTAACAACTGAATAATGTTCCATTGTAAATGTAACAAAGTTCCAGTATCTCTTTACCAGATGATGGTCATAGAGGCTGTTTTCAATTTCAGGTGTTATGAACAGAGAAGTAGTGAACGTGGGTCACCAAGTGTCTCTGTAGTAATATGTAGAGCTCTTTGGGTCTATAACCAAGAGCATTCTAGCTGGATCTTATAGTAGATCAATTTTCAGAGTTTTGTTACAGTGCCAGATTCTGGTGGAGGCAGATGTCTTGGTTGGCCGTGTTTGTATTTTCTGCACTGGGATAAGGCACATGGAATAATGATATCTGAAAAGTTTCCTAGTGTAAATATGTGGTCTTGTCTTCATTGGGTGGGTGTTCTGTTTTGTTGTTGTTGTTGTTTTGGGCTGAAGTTGCCAACTCTGGTCCTAGCCACTTGTGGCCAGTGTGTGGGCCCTGAGTTCCAGCCTACTGTGAGAGCTGTTCTGAAGGTCAGCAGATACTCACACAGGAACAGAGGTTGGCTAGAAGGAAATACTCACAGTGTGGGTGGAAAGTTCTGAGTTCTCTGGGTCATTAACAAAAGACTGGGTCCCTATGGGGTGGAGATAGGCTTGGTGAGTGGGGTGGCACATGTGACAGGCTGCAGCAGGACTGAGGGTAAGTCTAGAGAGACCGGAATGGAGGACAGGAAGGAGGATGAAGGTCCCCTACCTGAGTACTAGCCTAGTGTGGCAACTGTGGTGCCGAGGACAATTTTAAGAGCCATGCCATAATGCCAGCCTGAGTTAAGTTTCTGTTGTCCAGTATTGAGCCACTCACAAGAAACTTTTGACATGCCTGGACAAGTCCTAAGTTATTAGAAAATAACTTAACATTTCCTTATCTTTCTGCTACACTGACCATTAGTAACAATGTTTTGTGGTTAGGTTGCTTGGTTGGGTTGCTTGGCAACTCAAAAGTCCCCTGATCTTTTCCTAAAGAAAGTTTCCTGGTCTGCTTACTATAAAAACCACCTGAGAAAAATAAAATTTTGCAGCTTGATCAGAATACTGTCTTGCTGTCAATTCTTTGTGTCTCTTGTCCCTTTGATTCGCCATTCCCCCTTCTAGGGTCTCTGCTGAAGATCCAGCTGGTCGGGACACTGTGGGTCCCTGCTAGAGAGAGTGTGTGGGTCAGCAGAGTCCCAAAGGAATGAAGATGAGTTAAAAGGAACCACGGAAAAGGCCAACAGGAAGAACTAGGGCACACTGAGTCTGTACCAAGAACCAAACTGGACTTTTTGTTACATTATGCATTACTTTGTAAGATGTTTAAAAACACCCATATTGCTGATGAGTACTATCCTGTTATGAAATAAGACTAAATGAAGAACTTATGAATATAAATTATGGAAACACAATGGGAATAAAGACCTGTGATAGTGCAGATACAGCAACTACTAAACATAGCCTGTAATCTCTAGGGCTGCAAAGGATCTTGGAACCTAGCTGATCTAGGAATAGGCAAGTATTCCAAGAGGCAGTTTTTATAGATACTGGTGCACAAGGCTGGGCCCCAACATCTGTGTCTCAGCAGTGTTCCTAAGGACAGCCTCTTGCTAAATTCTATGCTATTGAGTTAACCCATAGCTTAAGTGACTTTTCAGATCAGAGTCCCCCTGAAATGTTACAAAAGTCATTTCATATCACAAGAACCCTGTTGTTTTACTGCAGTTAATATCCAACCCCTCCCCCCCCCAGTCAAGACTCCTGAGCCATTACATCACCATACAGAAGTATCCACCTGTCCTGGATGGTTTTATGACAAGTTGACACAAGCAAGAGTCATCAGACAAGAAAGAACATCAGTTGAGGAAATGCCTTCATAAGATCCAGCTGTAAGGCATTTTCTTAGTGATCAATGTGAGAGGGCCCAGGAACTAGGAGTGGGACTACCCCTGGGCTGATGATCCTGGCTTCTATAAGAAAGAGTCTGAGTAAGCTATGATGAGCAAGTCAATAAGCAGTACCCCTCGATGGCCTCTGCATCAGATCATGCCTCCAGGCTCCTGCCCTGTTTGAGTTCCTGTTCTGACTTCCTTCAGTGATCAACAGTGATGTAGAAGTACAAGCCAATTAAACACTTTCTTCCCCAACTTGCTTGTTGGTCATGGTGTTTCTTCATAGTAATAGACACCAAAAGACACTATCCATAAATCTTATTTAATGAGCTCATCAAAGATGTTTTTGTGGTCATTCATTATGTGTGTTTTTTTTGTTCATTCATTTTTCTTTTGTTTTGAGGTAGTCTTTGTAGCCCAGGGTAACCTCAAACATACTATCTACCTGATGATGACCTTGAACTACTGATGTTTCCACCTCTCAAGAGATGACACTGTAAACATGCACCACCACAACAAGTTCATTGATTTGTTTTAACCTTAGAAGTAACAAAGATTTTTATAACATATTTTAGAACCATGCTTTTAAATTAGAATCAGTACTTATCTTATGTACCAGGTTTGGCCAATGATGGATTCATTTGGTGGATGATAAGTTATGTTGTCAATGTAAATATGAAGATGTAAAAACATAAAGAATATAAGGTTTTCTAAGACAAATTCTCCTTTTTAGGTAAAAGGAATTTGATTAATTGCCTCTCATAATTATTATCGATGAGATGAACTAAGATGCAGTACTTAATAACATTACCTTGGAGCTTAGACCCTTTTACTTATAATTTGGTTTGTTACTATGTTGTGGACTTTAAAAGAAAATTAACCATTGCTTATTTACAGCAAAACAGAAACCAAATAGAAAAAAATCTTCATTAGATACTGTACACAAGAAGTTCCTTTCTTATATTTGTAATTTTATTTTTAAATGTGACAATTCTATATATGTATACAATGCATTTCAGTCATTCTCCCTCCTTCCCACTGTTCTGTTTTCCCTTCCAACCCCTTCAAATGCCCCTCTTTACAAGTCCCTTTCACATATCCATATCTTTGCATTTTGTCTTGTGACCCAAAGAGTTTTACCAGAGCTGTCTGTGTGACCCTGGGTTCTAGAATATCCTCTAGAGTCTAGCTGGCTCTCCTGTGAGTATATATGTGAAATCAATGACTGCCTCTCTCCCATAATCTACCAGTAGCAACAGTTCAGCAGAATGGAGTATGGTCCTGTCGAGTCCCTCTCTGACCCTTGCTGTGCTGATGAGGGACCCAGTCTTGTGCAGGTAGCTGTAGATGTTGTGAGATGGATCAGGGTGGCAAGGACTGTGTGTGTCCTGCCCACAATATAGCATTTACAGTGCTTCTTCTCATCTTCCAGCTCCTGTTCTCTTTCCACACTGTCCTAAGCTTCAGAGGAGATGGTATACGTGTCCTGTGTAGGGTTAGGTGCTCAAGTGTCACTCACTCTGGTACCTGGAGCAGCCGTGAGTCTCTGTATTCACCACAGTTCATTACAGTGGGAATCATTTCTGGGTAAAGCTGGTTGTAGCATTTGTCCATGAATATAAATATAAATACTTAGAAGACAGTTTGTAATCACATATCTTTAAGCAACTGTAGAATATTTCCACCATAGAACATAAAACCCTAGTTGCTGGGTTTTTGACTGGATTTACAGGGAAAAAAAGTTTTTGCTGCTATAGAAACCAGCCTTTAGCATGAGAGGAATTGAAGGCGAGCCACGGAGTAGAAGGACTAATCACCCCATTGACTTTTCTGTCTGGAGGAGTAGAAGTTAACACACACACACACACACACACACACACACACACACACACACATTTCCAACATGTCAGGTTCTCACCAAGGATGTTGATGGGTGGCAAGTCTTCAGCAGGTTAGAGAAACTGAAGAGGAAATGCAGAGCAGGTGAACTAACGGACAGACAGACAAACAGACACGTTAGGACTTTTCTGAGGGTCAAAGCTTAGTTCTTCATTTTATTATTGTTTCCATTGCTTGTTCTACTCTATCCTTTTTCTGTTCTGTTCTTCTACCCTGACGTTTCCCTTCTTTCTTTTCCCTGATGTCTTCCTTCTCACTACTTCCTGATGACTTCCTTCTCACTACTTCCTGATGACTTCCTTCTCACTGCTTCCTGATGACTTCCTTCTCACTACTTCCTGATGACTTCCTTCTCACTACTTCCTGATGACTTCCTTCTCACTGCTTCCTGATGACTTCCTTCTCACTACTTCCTGATGACTTCCTTCTCACTACTTCCTGATGACTTCCTTCTCACTACTTCCTGATGACTTCCTTCTCACTGCTTCCTGATGACTTCCTTCTCACTACTTCCTGATGACTTCCTTCTCACAGCTTTCTGATGACTTCCTTCTCACTACTTCCTGATGACTTCCTTCTCACTCCTTCCTGATGTCTTCCTTCTCACTACTTCCTGATGACTTCCTTCTCACTACTTCCTGATGACTTCCTTCTCACTCCTTCCTGATGACTTCCTTCTCACTCCTTCCTGATGACTTCCTCCTCACTACTTCCTGATGACTTCCTTTTCACTGTTTCTTGATGTCCTCCTTCTAACTTCATTATTTCTTCCCTTACAGCTTATAAACCCCGGAAGAATCTTTCAAGCAATATAAAAATTAAGATGTGGTTACATTCTATGTTTTAAGTGAATGATTACAATGAATAAAAGTAAAAAAAAAAAAGCATGTTTCCCATTTCCCTTACATGAATAAACATTTTATGTATTACAACTGAAAAGCAAATTATCCCCAAGCACCCACATACAGTTAAACATTTATCTTCTAGAATTCAGCCATAACTCTTAACAGAGACAGTAGTTTTTCTAATTGCCAGAAAAACAGATAACTAGTTTCACTTTTCACATTTTAGAGTTTACAGAATTATCTTAACTAACCATAAAATTCTTTGTTTTCTAGTTACATGAAGTATTATTTAAAGCTTTGTTTTAGCTATGATGCACACCAAAATCCATAAACACATTTCCCAATATTGAAAAGATCTTGAGCTAATTCCTCCAACTCGATTGTTTTCCTTAATCATTAATTAACCTAAACCACAGTCTATAGGCTCCTCAAGAGAAACTCCTAAGTCCCAGCTGATGACCCTTCCTCGGTCCTATTTTCTATCCTATGCAGCCCCTGCTTTATCAGGGGCGGGGACAACACTATATCCTTGTTTACCTATATTAATTTTCCCACTAAAATAACCTCTATCATAATCCCTTACTACATGTGTTAAAAACTCTTAATCATCAAAATTCTATTTAAACTACCATTATTGTTGCATAAAATCATTACTTCAGTTAAACAGTACAGCTTAATTAGAAATCAACTTCATAATAATCCACATTTGAAATGCCCAGTAGAACAGGATGTTTCCATGAGATAATCACATTACATTAAAGGCAGTGAGGATCCCGCACCCCCATTCACACCATGCCAGCTACAAGAGTAAGATGCAAAGGCACAGCAATAGCAAGATCCATGCTGGAGCCCAAGTTCTGGGGCCTTGTCTATCCAAGATTCACCCATAATTGCCTTATATTCTGGTGGGCCAAACTCCTGAATTCAAGTGCTCGCTGATGCTCCACTGACATGGCCACCAGAAAAGTTTTGACTTTTTTAAATGTCAGATTAATTCAAAGAAAGTGGAAGAGAGATTTAAAAATGCCTCTTTTTCTTAAGAGGTAATAATCGCACATAGGTAATTGATAAGAAGATAATCATTATACAAGCTAAGGCCACATGATTCTTCCAGAAGCCCCAAGATGAGCGATCGATGCCGTTGTTCATCAAGAATTCTTCACCAGTGCATCTGTAATTCAACATACACACAAATAATGTCAAAGTTTATTCAGTACATTCACTGTTGCTTCCTTTTAAAAACTCATAGTTTCAACACATCATTAAAAATTTCTTCTTTATATTTAATTGGTAGTACTAATGATGTACTTACAATTTTGTTATATATTATGTCAATCTAACTTACTTGTATCAGATCACTTTGTTAATTTCAAAAAAAAAATCATACAAAGAAGCATAGCTATCACATCTTTTTAAAAGCATAGAGGAAGTAGGCTCAGTAAAGTAGGCTAAGTTTAGAGAGTCACACTAAGATCCAACTTTGTAGTCTTCACTATGTCATCCATTTCTAAATCTACAATGCTGCCTTCTCCTCAAAGGGCAAAGGCATGGATAAAGGACTTCTTTCTCCTGAAGTGGAAAACCTCAGCTTCCTAATGACACACAGACACTCTAAGAGATCAAAGCTCTGTGCAGTTCTGCTGACTCAGTAGACAGTCATGCAAAAAACACAGCATCAAATTCTAGACCGAGGACCAGAGGAGACTAAGGGTTTCTGAAAGGAGTCAGTCAATTCCTGTCAGTTCTTCTACTAAGGGAGCATGACAACCACAGATGCTCAGCTATGGAACATCCCCAGCAGCCCATGGCTACAGACAGAGCCTGGGTAGCAGCTGGAGCACAGCAGGGGCCCTGACACAGGTTAGAAAAGCAGCTGCTGCTAAAAGTTTTGAATATACAATTACTACCTGTGTGCTTCCATCCCCGTGTGTCTCCATCCCTGTGTGTCTCCATCTCTGTGTGTCTCCATCCCTGTGTGTCTCCATCTCTGTGTGTCTCCATCCCTGTGTGTCTCCATCTCTGTGTGTCTCCATCCCTGTGTCTCCATCTCTGTGTGTCTCCATCCCTGTGTGTCTCCACCCCTGTGTGTCTCCATCCCTCTGTGTCTCCATCCCTGTGTGTCTCCATCCCTGTGTGTCTCCATCTCTGTGTGTCTCCATCCCTGTGTGTCTCCATCCCTGTGTGTCTCCATCTCTGTGTGTCTCCATCCCTGTGTGTCTCCATCCCTGTGTGTCTCCATCCCTGTGTGTCTCCATCTCTGTGTGTCTCCATCCCTGTGTGTCTCCATCCCTGTGTGTCTCCATCCCTGTGTGTCTCCATCTCTGTGTGTCTCCATCCCTGTGTGTCTCCACCCCTGTGTGTCTCCATCCCTCTGTGTCTCCATCCCTGTGTGTCTCCATCCCTGTGTGTCTCCATCTCTGTGTGTCTCCATCCCTGTGTGTCTCCATCCCTGTGTGTCTCCATCTCTGTGTGTCTCCATCCCTGTGTGTCTCCATCCCTGTGTATCTCCATCTCTGTGTGTCTCCATCCCTGTGTCTCCATCCCTGTGTGTCTCCATCCCTGTGTGTCTCCATCTCTGTGTGTCTCCATCTCTGTGTGTCTCCATCCCGGTGTATCTCCATCTCTGTGTGTCTCCATCCCTGTGTGTCTCCATCCCTGTGTGTCTCCATCTCTGTGTGTCTCCATCCCTGTGTGTCTCCATCCCTATGTGTCTCCATCCCTGTGTGTCTCCATCTCTGTGTGTCTCCATCCCTGTGTGTCTCCATCCCTGTGTGTCTCCATCCCTGTGTGTCTCCATCTCTGTGTGTCTCCATCCCTGTGTATCTCCATCTCTGTGTGTCTCCATCCCTGTGTCTCCATCCCTGTGTGTCTCCATCCCTGTGTGTCTCCATCTCTGTGTGTCTCCATCTCTGTGTGTCTCTATCCCTGTGTGTCTCCATCCCTGTGTCTCCATCTCTGTGTGTCTCCATCCCTGTGTGTCTCCATCCCTGTGTGTCTCCATCCCTGTGTGTCCATCTCTGTGTGTCTCCATCTCTGTGTGTCTCCATCTCTGTATGTCTCCATCCCTGTGTCTCCATCTCTGTGTGTCTCCATCCCTGTGTCTCCATCCCTGTGTGTCTCCATCCCTGTGTGTCTCCACCCCTGTGTGTCTCCATCTCTGTGTGTCTCCATCCCTGTGTGTCTCCACCCCTGTGTGTCTCCATCCCTGTGTGTCTCCATCTCTGTGTGTCTCCATCCCTGTGTGTCTCCACCCCTGTGTGTCTCCATCTCTGTGTGTCTCCATCTCTGTGTGCTTCCATCCCTGTGTGTCTCCATCCCTGTGTCTCCATCTCTGTGTATCTCCATCCCTGTGTGTCTCCATCCCTGTGTGTCTCCATCCCTGTGTGTCTCCACCCCTGTGTGTCTCCATCCCTGTGTGTCTCCATCCCTGTGTGTCTCCATCTCTGTGTGTCTCCATCTCTGTGTGTCTCCATCTCTGTGTGTCTCCATCCCTGTGTCTCCATCTCTGTGTGTCTCCATTCCTGTGTCTCCATCCCTGTGTGTCCCCATCCCTGTGTGTCTCCATCCCTGTGTGTCTCCATCTCTGTGTGTCTCCATCTCTGTGTGTCTCCATCCCTGTGTCTCCATCTCTGTGTGTCTCCATCCCTGTGTGTCTCCATCCCTGTGTATCTCCATCTCTGTGTGTCTCCATCCCTGTGTGTCTCCATCCCTGTGTGTCTCCATCCCTGTGTGTCTCCATCTCTGTGTGTCTCCATCTCTGTGTGTCTCCATCCCTGTGTCTCCATCTCTGTGTGTCTCCATCCCTGTGTGTCTCCATCTCTGTGTGTCTCCATCTCTGTGTGTCTCCATCCCTGTGTCTCCATCTCTGTGTGTCTCCATCCCTGTGTGTCTCCACCCCTGTGTGTCCCCATCCCTGTGTCTCCATCCCTGTGTGTCTCATTCTCTGTGTGTCTCCACCCCTGTGTGTCTCCATCCCTGTGTGTCTCCATCCCTGTGTGTCTCCATCTCTGTGTGTCTCCATCTCTGTGTGTCTCCATCTCTGTGTGTCTCCATCCCTGTGTCTCCATCTCTGTGTGTCTCCATCCCTGTGTCTCCATCCCTGTGTGTCCCCATCCCTGTGTGTCTCCATCCCTGTGTGTCTCCATCTCTGTGTGTCTCCATCTCTGTGTGTCTCCATCCCTGTGTCTCCATCTCTGTGTGTCTCCATCCCTGTGTCTCCATCCCTGTGTGTCCCCATCCCTGTGTGTCTCCATCCCTGTGTGTCTCCATCTCTGTGTGTCTCCATCTCTGTGTGTCTCCATCCCTGTGTCTCCATCTCTGTGTGTCTCCATCCCTGTGTGTCTCCATCCCTGTGTATCTCCATCTCTGTGTGTCTCCATCCCTGTGTGTCTCCATCCCTGTGTGTCTCCATCCCTGTGTGTCTCCATCTCTGTGTGTCTCCATCCCTGTGTGTCTCCATCTCTGTGTGTCTCCATCCCTGTGTGTCTCCATCTCTGTGTGTCTCCATCCCTGTGTGCCTCCATCTCTGTGTGTCTCCATCTCTGTGTGTCTCCACCCCTGTGTGTCTCCATCTCTGTGTGTCTCCATCCCTGTTTCTTCATCCCTGTGTGTCTCATTCTCTGTGTGTCTCCATCCCTGTGTCTCTATCCCTGTGTCTCCATCCCGGTGTATATCCGTTTTCTTGTATCTCTTAGGATGTAACAGGGGCAGATTTCTTCTTCCTCTTTTTGTGAAGACAATCCTTTTGTGAGTATGAGGTCCGTTTTTGGCCTGTCCCTGGTTTCATTTACCCATCCCCATCCTTCTGACAAGAAACTGGTAAGAAATTTGTTTTAGAAGGATGACACACCACACCAGGAGAGAGGAGATATGAGAAATAAGATATCCCCCCATAGTTGTTTTCTTATCAGTAATTCAAACATAATTTGGGTTACTACTATTCATTATCATTTTGTACATCCATGGGAGTTTAACACATCAGCATGTTCCTATCTCATTTATAGATCAAAATCAGATCAATGAGAGCAATCGTAGAAAGGGAAGATATTGTAACTTTAAAATAACACGCTTTAATTTTATTAAAAATTTTTTGTTTCTATTTTAATGGTATTAAACAAAAATGACATTTCCTTCTCAATATACTGAAATATGTGTTTTTTTTCATTGTAGGACATATCCTCTGGTAGGACATTTTACACATACACACACACACACACACACACACACACACACACACACACACACACACACACAAACATACACACACACACCCCTTTGATTTCTTGAAGTCCTCTAGAGTGTGAGGCATAGGGAAGGCCCTGCATGCTGGCAGGCAAAGCTCAATTCTTTTGGTCCTTGCTGCCCTGATGTTCTTGGGCTCTGCTCACAGGTACCATAGTCTATACATGTAGAAACTATATGCCCTTGTTAACTATCAGAGCAGCCTAGGTCAAACTCAGATGTTCTGAAACAAGGAACTCAAATCCACAATCAAGACACCAAAACCATTTTTAAAAGCCCCCAAAAACCCTTTCTGCACATTCTAAACCATAGAGCAGTAGGTCAAAACACATCCATGTGTGCATTGGTTACAGTGATTCTCTCTGGGGAACCAGGAGAGGACAGAGTGCTAATCCTGAAAGTATGGGTTTTCCTTCCAAGTCTAGGAGCATTCTCTGTCCCCATTATGACACTGAACTCAAGCTTACATTACGTAGTTCTGACATCTACTGACTTCTGCTGTGTTATGTTCTGTACAGAAGTTTTGTCCCAGGAATTCATTGTGCAGCAAAGCCTGTAACACAAACAGGAACAGGGAAAGGCAAATAGTTTAACATTTCCAAAAGTTTCCAAAAAAATAAATACAACTATAAATTGTAATTCAATCTTGACTGTAATTTGCAAAAAAAAAAAAAAAATTAAATGAACAAACTCTCACCGAGTTCAGTCTGCCCAGCAAAGCAGTGCCCCTCCCTCACACTCAGGAGGCTTAGGATTGAAATGATGCCTCCCAACTACTAAGAGGTGAACTCTCTAACTAGATTACCTCAGGCACCTCCTTCTCTGCCCAGTCCATAACCATATATACACTGTAATTAAAACAATACTATTGATTTATAGTAACAATATTTCTTGCTTCTTTTCATCAAAACCGGTTGAGATTATGGAGGTAAGAAAATCTGTTAAGACACACTTTACTGCAGAGAAAGCTGGACAAAGCCAATATGGCTATGGATATCACATGGCTTCTATTTCTTTTAATTTCCTGATATAAATTATATATCTTTATCCATGATCCTTCATTATTTTCTTATTGAGTAGAATCACAACTGTATGCTTTTCATCATACCATCTATCTTTCCTCTTTACTCTGGGATTTTTCTCACTCTTTATTTCCTTTAAATAACATGTGACTGGGGAAAACCCCAGATGACTCACTGACCTTTGGCCAGAATTAACAGGAAAGTTCTCATCTTTTGCTCCTGGAAGGAAAATCCTGGGCAGCTGCTGGTTAGAGATTACAGCTGGGGAAAGGACTTGGTTGGGATTCATTTCAGTTGCTACAGTTGGAGACCCCAAGGACAGTGACAGACAGGACAACTTACTGTAAATCCATAATGAGGAATGTTGAAGTACTGAATCCATGAGAGCCCAGGTAATAAGCTTTCTAAATATAGTGACATACCTGAGAAAAACTATGAAGAACAAAACCATGAATTAGAACCAGTCTATTGACTAAGAATTCTAGATAAGATCCTCACTCTTTAAGACCCCTTCATCCTTCTGACCATTTCTGCTCAGACCAGCTCTTTAAAACATTCTTTCAGTAAACTCTAAGCATAATTCTTCATTTTTTTTTGCAATCCAAGGCTTTTTAAAAGAAGGGCCTGCCACCCAACTCTGCAGGAGCCAGACCCTACAGATATTAAATTATCTTTAAAATGGCATACAACCTATGAACATAACTTCAAATACAGCCATACTACGTATTTAAAATCCTCTTTCAATTCCTTATAATATCTAATTTAGGTAACAATATAGTTTATACTGTATAATTCATGGGATGGCGACATTCAGAGCACAAGAATCATTTGTTTCATATATTTTCAATATATGATTGGTTGAATCTTTGACAATATGACAGGCCAAATGTAGTGACTATTCTAATAAAACTGCTGCCATCTAAGAACACATGCTAGAAGAACACTGTCTTGGCTCATTTTATATCAACTTGACACAAGCTAAATTCACTGGATAGTGGGGAACCTCAAGAATCAAGAAATGTCTCTAGGGAGGAGCTTGGCCCTACCTCAACTTGATATGCCATGCTTTCTTCAAGCCCATGGGAGAAGTGGATGGGGAGGGGGTAGATGGGAGTCAGGGGAAGGGGACACTCATCAAATTGAACTTTCAACAGAAAAACTGTTGTAGTTACATTAACAAGTTTTTATTATCATTAAAAAATAATAAATGAGACTTTCAAATCTTAATTTTAATGATTTTCCTTGTGCTGAGCTTGTCCATTTCCCCTGGGCAATGATGTCAGCAGCCTTTCTCTTGGGTGTAAAGTGTCCCACCTCTTCAACCTGCTGGACTGTGCTCTCATTTAATGTCACAGGAAGGGGCCTCCCAGGTCTCTTTCAATTTGCTTTCTGTTTTGTTTTGTTTTTCAGATTTTTAGCAGCATGTGTTCCCCAAGCAGGAAACCATGGGCTGGAAAATTTGGCAGAGGAGTCTGGTGAAAACTTTGTAAACTAAGAGAAAGTAAAGTGGAGGAGAGATCCTCAACACAATTGATAAGAAACTGATTTTAGTTTCCCTGGTGGGAATGCCTGTGGACTCCCTAAGACAGGAGACGCATGTAACATTCATGTGGAGAGAGGCCCCCAGCCCTTTCTGAAAGCTATTTTAATCTTAAACAAATCTCTTTAGTTCTGAGTTACTCTAAGAGAGTCTTCATCATACCAGCAGCAGCATGGGGAAGGGAGGAGGCCTTTATATGTCTGAGGAGGCATGTATTCCTACCAGTGTATATTAAAGTTTTCTTTTATTTGTTTACTTGTTTCTTTGGTATTTGTGGAATTTCATCTGGATTCCTAACCCAACAAAGGCCAATCTATTTCACAGAATGTAGGGAGACTTCCAGGAGACAGTTTATCATGATAATATCTCATGCACTCCCTTTGAAATTTCCAGCTTTATACTCTCTAGGATAAACTTACTGTGTTGTGAATGTATATTCTCCCCCTTAAATATATAATCACAGGTAAGAAGGGAAAAGGGTAAGAGTCACACAGGCTTTGTCCACCTTATTTATATTTACACATTCAATCCTCTTTAACCCTCCACCCAATGCACTGGAGTCACTGTAAACTGCATTTCATTTTCTAAAATCTTCTATAACAATGCTCAGGTAATTCTGGGCTCTGGTAGGTGACTAGACTTCCCTTCTACCCCCTGAACTAGAAGAACCAAAACCAACAATGGGCAGAACTCCTTGACATGGTTCCTTGGCCTTGTTCTTTTCTATGTGCTATGGGGTCCTTGTTCTGGGATGGCAATAGAGCCAATCTCCTACAGAATGACTTGTCCACAAGTGCCACGACTGTCTACTGCTCCTTGCCCTCAGAGTCCAGCACCCCAGCAATGAGGGAAGTGGAAATACCACCATACCCCAACAAGAGCATCCAAGAATGTTACAGGTTTTTAGGTCTAAAAACCAGATTGCTACTCAGGACAATTTCGAGATGACTAGCTGAGATGATCCAGCCTGACAGACTACTTGAACAAGGACTTGAAACAAGCCCTGCACTTTCTCATTTTGCAGCGACTGGACAGGACAAATGATACAGGACTTGACAATTAACCCAAAAATTTTCTTTTCAGGATTCCCTAAAGATGTCTTCACCCCCAGAAAGCAGGAAGTAATTTTAAGAAAAAGACACCCACATTCCCAAGAAGTGGGGTGGGAGGTTTTTGGTTGTTTAATGAGTTATGGATATTGTCATTGTTTACAATGGTTGGTTACAAGTTGTTAATTGTTAGTGGTCAGGAAAAAAGCTGAACAAGGAGATTATATTCAGAGCTTTTGTTTAAAAAAAAAAAGAAAAAAGAAAATATAGATATGAGGTAGATCACTGAATCTACCCTGAGAAAAAGATAAAGAAATAAGATAAATGGGTAGATAATTAAATCTGCTCTCAAAAGAAAAAGAGGAAGATATAAAAATTACAAAGGTAGATTATTGAATCTATTATGAAAAGAAAAAATACTTTTAAAAAGGAATTACTTGTTTTAAATAAGATAAGTAATGAAAAATTTTTTTATCTTATTTATAAAATGTTACTGGACTGGACATTGTTATATATTAATGGAGTTTTTATCTGAATCTGTCAAATGTTAATGGACTAGACATCGTTAATGTAATCTTGACTGTGTATATTGTATATACTTATAGGATACAATTTTTCTTGTATTAGTTATAAGCTTTTTTAAAAAATTTTAGACAAAAAGAGGGGAAATGTGGTGGTATTGTGTTCCCCAAAATATTGTGCACCCTAATAAACTTATCTGGGGTCAGAGAACAGGAACAGCCACTAGATACAAAGGCTAGAAAATGGTGGCACTCACACCTTTAATCCTAACATTCCAGAGGCAGAAATCCATCTGGGATCTCTGTGAGTTCAAGGTCACATTGGAAACAGCCAGGCATGGTGACACATGCCTTTAATCCCAAGAAGTCAGCCTTTAATCCCAGGGAGTGATGGCAGAAAGCAGAAAGGTGTATAAGGCGTGAGGACCAGGAACTAGAAGCATTTGGCTGGTTAAGCTTTTAGGTTTTGAGCAGCATAGTTCAGCTGAGAGCCATTGGGATATGAGGACACAGAGGCTTCCATTCTGAGGAAACAAGATCAGCTGAGAAGTTGGCCAGGTGAGGTTAGCTGTGGCTTGTTCTGTCTCTCTGCTCTTCCAGAGTTCACCCCAATAACTGGCCTCGGGTTTGATTTTATTAAGAACTTTTAAGATTCCTGCTACAGATTGCCAAAACTACTTTTAAAGAAACTCACTTACAGTCCAGGCTGTGGTGATATTGTGTTCCCCAAAATATTGTGTACCCTAATAAACTTATCTGGGGTCAGAGACAGAACAGCCACTAGATACAAAGGCTAGGAAATGGTGGCACTCACACCTTTAATCCTAGCATTCCAAAGGCAGAAATCCCTCTTGATCTCTGTGAGTTCAAAGCCACACTGGAAACAGCCAGGCATGGTGACACATGCCTTTAATCCCAAGAAGTGAGCCTTTAATCCCTTTAATCTGGCAGATAGCAGAAAGATATATAAGGCGTGAAGACCAGGAACTAGAAGCATTTGGCTGGTTAAGCATTTGGCCTGGTTAAGCATTTGGCCTGGTTAAGCATTCAGGCTTTTGAGCAGCAGTTCACCTGGGACCCATTCTGGATGAGGACTCAGAGGCCTCCAGTCTGAGGAAACAAGACCAGCTGAGGATCTGGCCAGGTGAGGTGGCTGTGGCCTGTTCTGTCTCTCTCAGCTTCACCTCAGTACTTGGCTCTGGGTTTGTTTTATTAATAAGACTCGCTAAGATTCCTGCTACATCTGGCGCCCAACATTCGTGGTACGAATTCATGAAAAGCCTCTTGCCTGTGGCCTTGCGGACCCCAGTTCAGACCCGAGCTACACTCGGCTGGTTGTGGTGGAGCACGCTGGTTGGATTTACTGAAGAAGGCAGAGGCAGGAGGATCCCGAGTTTGAGGCCAACCTAGGAGAAGCTTCAGCCGGAGCCAAGCCACAAACAGTGGTGGGACCATGGAGGCAGTGGCTGCTGCTCCGAAATGCTGGCTTCTTCTCATTGTGTTGGTGACTGCGGTGATGCTGCTACCTGGGATGAGGAGTTTACCGCTGCTTGTTCAGAGAAGAATTGCCTGGACCATTGTGATACCAGAAAGCATCTGCAAAGGTCAGTTTGGAAAAGTTTGGCAAGACAAATGGTGGGGAGAAATTGCCATAAAGATATTCTCTTCCAGGGAAAAACATTCATGGTTTCAAGAGACAGACATTTATCAGTCTGTGATTGCTCCAAACCACAGAGGAGGCACACACACACACAAAAAAAATCTTCAGGGAACCATGACCATGCCTAACAGCAACTTTGAAATCTTCAAAAGGAAGACAGGATCCCACAATGATGATTCCATATGGACTATGATAAAACCATTAAGCTAATTAACACCAAGGAAAAATCGACTTTGGACTACAAACTGGTCAGGACAATTTTGAGATGACTAGCTGAGATGATCCAGCCTGACAGACTACTTGAACAAGGACTTGAAACAAGCCCTGCACTTTCTCATTTTGCAGCGACTGGACAGGACAAATGATACAGGACTTGACAATTAACCCAAAAATTTTCTTTTCAGGATTCCCTAAAGATGTCTTCACCCCCAGAAAGCAGGAAGTAATTTTAAGAAAAAGACACCCACATTCCCAAGAAGTGGGGTGGGTAGTTTTTGGTCGTTTAATGAGTTATGGATATTGTCATTGTTTACAATGGTTGGTTACAAGTTGTTGATTGTTAGTGGTCAGAAAAAAAGCTGAACAAGGAGATTAGATTCAGAGCTTTTGTTTAAAAAAAAGAAAGAAAGAAAAAGAAAAAAGAGAATATAGCTATGAAGTAGATCATTGAATCTACTCTGAGAAAAAAGATAAAGAAATAATAGGATAAATGGGTAGATCACTGGATCTACACTGAAGAAAAAGAGGAAGATATAAAAATGACAAAAGGTAGATTACTGAATCTATTATGAGAAGAAAAAAACTTTTAAAAAGGAATTACTTGTTTTAAATAGGATAAGTAAGGAAAAATTTTTTGTCTGAGTTTATCAGATGTTACTGGACTGGACTGGACATTCTTAATATATATAATGGAGTTTTTTTCTGAATCTGTCAAATGTTAATGGACTAGACATTGTTAATGTAATCTTGACTGTGTATAATGTATATACTTATAGGATACAATTTTTCTTGTATTAGTTATAAGCTTTTTTTAAATTTTAGACAAAAAGAGAGAAGTGTGGTGGTATTGTGTTCCCCAAAATATTGTGTACCTAATAAACCTATCTGGTGTCAGAGAACAGGAACAGCCACTAGATACAAAGGCTAGAAAATGGTGGCACTCACACCTTTAATCCTAACATTCCAGAGGCAGAAATCCATCTGCGATCTCTGTGAGTTCAAGGCCACATTGGAAACAGCCAGGCATGGTGACACATCCCTTTAATCCCAAGAAGTGAGCCTTTAATCCCAGGGAGTGATGGCAGATAGCAGAAAGATATATAAGGCTTGAAGACCAGGAACTAGAAGCATTTGGTTGGTTAAGCATTTTGCCTGGTTAAGCATTCAGGCTTTTGAGCAGCAGTTCACCTGAGACCCATTCTGGATGAGGACTCAGAGGCCTCCAAGAAAGGCTGGGCATTTATAAGTAATAATTAGATTCAGTGTGATTTATATGGGAGCTGGGTTATGGGTGCCCAAAAGAGCAAAGAGTAAAGAGTAAAATACAACCAACTATAGATCATGCCCTATGCTTTCCCATTAGAGACTATTGAATAAATCAAATTAAAACAGCAGGCAAGTCTCTCGCAACAGCATGAAAGGAAGGCTGTAATCTGTCTTGTTGTGGGGGAATCAGCCAATCATACCACTTTCTTGAAGTTTCAATTTCTTATGGTTTTATAATATGATCCCAATAAATGTCTGGTAAGAGCTGACTAGAAAGGGCATGTTAATTACATCATAGTATTTACATCAGAGTAGTAGCCACAAAGCCTTGGAGAAAAGCAGGATCCTTCGCCTTTTCTCCTACAGACCATAATAAGCTTTAGTGTAAGACCTCATGTCCCAAGTACTGATGTGTCAAGCATGTACATGTTTAAGAAGGAACACAAGGAAAATTTTCCTCTTAGGAAAACACAATTCACACTCACCAGCATGAACATAAAGTAGATGATCACAAGTACTGTTGATACATCTGCTGCAATCTCCCCTGCCCCTATTGACAGTGACAGGGAACTGGCAGAATAAGCCAACATCATGATGGTAGATAACATAGTGAAGAAACCCTTCACATCTGTTTTCACTCCTTAGAAAGAAAAGAGTAGGGTCAGTTGATCTGCTAAGTCAAGAGAACTGTACATATTTCAAATAATACTTTAATAACAATTGAGACTAGTAACAGTTTCAAAACCACCCACTTCTCTGGGTCTCCAACTGCTACCTGATCATGTGGGTGCTGGGAAACAAATTTGGGGACTTTGGAGGAGAAGCAAGTGCTCTTAACAAATGAGCCTCTCTCTAACTCCATCATGTGGCTTGTCTTTTATACTTGCTACAAAAATAACTTTCCATATAATACCTATTCTCCTCTATACATAATTATGGGCAATTTATGGGATCCTGACATGGAGAGCCACAGGCAACACAAATGGCCAAAATTTTACTGCATTCTCTCACAGGAGAATCATCAACAGAACACGTTCATGTCCACATTTCCCTGTGTTTATTACAATTGCATTAGTAATGAAATTGGAATTAGGACTATGCCGGTTAGTTTTTTTGTAAATTTAACCTGAGGGTCATATGGGAAGTGGTAACCTCAACTTAGAAAATACTTCCATTAGATTGGTGTGGTGGTAATGTGTTCCCCAAAATATTGTGCACCCTAATAAATTTATCTGGGGTCAGAGACAGAACAACCACTAGATACAAAGGCTAGAAAATGGTGGCACTCACTCCTTTAATCCTAACATTCCAGAGGCAGAAATCCATCTGGGATCTCTGTGAGTTCAAGGCCACATTGGAAACAGCCAGGCATGGTGACTCACGCCTTTAATCCCAGAAAGCGAGCCTTTAATCCCAGGGAGTGGTGGTAGAAAGCAGAAAGGTATATAAGACATGAGGACCAGAAACTAGAAGCATTTGTCTGGTTAAGCTTTTGGCTGATTAAGCTTTTAGGCTTCCAGCAGCAGTTCAGCTGAGATTCATTTTGGATGAGGACTCAGAGGCTTCCAGTCTGAGGAAACAAGATCAGCTGAGAAGGGCCAGGTGAGGTTAGCTGTGGCTTGTTCTGTCTCTCTGACCTTCCAGCATTCACCCCAATAACTGGCCTCAGGTTTGATTTTATTAATAAGAACTTTTAAGATTCATGCTACAGATTAGCCTGTAGACAAGCCTGTGGGGGCATTTTCTTGATGAATGATTTATGTAGGAGGTCTTAGACAAATGTGGATCCCTAGGCAGATGGTCTTAGGTTCTACAAGAAAGCAGGCTGAGGAAGCCATTAGGAGCTAGAAGGAAAACTCCAACACAAAGAAGTTTGCTACACCCACAAAAACACAGGCAATAGGTAATCTCACACCAGCAAATCCCACACAAACACACTGCTAACATCAAAAAAAAAAAAACAAACACATTACTACCATCAACAAAATATAATAGTAATTAACAATCACTGATCATTAATACCCCTTAATATCAATGGACTCAACTTGCCCATAAAAAGACACAGGCTAACAGAATGGATACAAAAACAGGATCTGTCCTTCTGCTGCATACAAGAAATATACCTCAACTTCAAAGACAGACATTTCCTCAGAGCAAAGGGTTGGGAAAGATTTTGTAATCAAATAGACCTAAAAAACAGGCTGGTATAGCTATCCTAATATCTAACAAAATAGGCTTCAAACTAAAATTAATCAAAAGAGCTGGAGAAGGACATTTCATGTTCATCACAGGAAAAATCCATCAAGATGAAGTCTCAATTTTGAACATATATGCCCCAAATACAAAGGTACCCACATATGTAAAAGAAACATTTCTAAAGCTTAAATCACACATTCAAACTCCACACACTAATAGTGGGAGACTTCAACACCCCACTCTCACTAACGGACAGATTTGCCAGACAGAAAATTAACAGAGATATAAGGGAACTAACAGATGTTACAACTCAAATGGACTTAATAGATATCTATAGAATAGTTCACTCAAACACAAAAGAATGTACCTTCTTCTCAGCACCTCATGGAACCTTATCTAAATTGACTACATACTTGGTCACAAAGCAAATCTCAACAGATACAAAAAAATTGGAATAACCCCCTGTATCTTATCAGACCACCATGGGTTAAAGCTAGATTTCAACAACAACACAAACTATAGAAAGTCTAGAAACTCATGCAAACTGATCAATGCCCTACTGAATCACCACTGGGTCAAGGAAGAAATAAAGAAACAAATTAAAGATTTCCTACAATTCAGTGAAAATGAATGTACAACATCTCCAAACTTATGGGACACCATGAAAGCAGTGCTAAGAGGAAAATTCATAGCTCTCAATGCTCACATAAAGAAGTTGGAGAAATCTCACACTAGTGACTTAACAGCACACCTGAAAGCTCTAGAACAAGAAGCAAACTCACCCAGGAGAAACAGACACCAGGAAATAATCAAATTGAGGGCTGACATCAATAAAATAGAAACAAAGAGAATAGAATAGTACAAAGAATCAATGAAACACAGAGTTGGTTCTTTGAGAAAATCAACAAGATAGACAAACCCTTATCCAAACTAACCAAAAGGCAGAGAGAGAATATCCAAATTAACAAAATCAGAGATGAAAAAAAGGGGCATAACAAGAGACACTGAGGAAATCCAGAGAATCATTAGGTCATACTTCAAACACCTGTACTCCACAAAACTGGAAAACCTAAAAGAAATCCACAGTTAAGCACTGGACCGAGCTCCTGGAGTCCAGTTGAAGAGAGGGGGTAGGGATTATATGAGCAAAAGGGTAAAGATCATGATGGGGAAACCCACAGAGAAAGTTGACCCTAGCTAGTGGGAGATCATTTATTCTGTACTGACAGCTGGGGAACCTGCATAGGGCAGAACTAGACCCTCTGAATGTATGTGTGACAGTTGTGTGGCTTGGGAAGTTTGTGGGGCCACTGGCAGAGGGACCAGTATTATCTCTAGTGTATGAACTGGCTTTTTGGAGTCCATTCCCTATGGAGGGATACCTTGCTGAGGCTTGATACAGGGGGGAGGGGCTTGGTCCTGCCTCAATTGATATACCAGACTTGTTGACTCCCCATGGTAGGCCTAACCCTCTGTGAGGAGTTGGGTTGGGAAGGAGGAGGAGTGGAGCAGAAGGAGGGGGGGTGGGAACTGTGGTTGGTATATAAAATGAAAAAAATACTTTTAAATAAAAAAATAATGAAAAAGAAAGGAGAGAGAGAGAAAGAAAGAAAGAAAGAAAGAAAGAAAGAAAGAAAGAAAGAAAGAAAGATTTTCAAATACATGGTTTAGTGTGACCCCAACTGCACATCTCAAGCCTTGACCTTCTCTGAAAAGCAACTCAGTCCCTTTCCCACTATGTTTCTCTTGACTAACCTCACAGTTTCTCCTTTACTGTGTCCAAAGTTGAATCCTCAAGCTCAGCTTAATGGTACAGATCTGAGATGCCAGCCAGAGCTACATGGCAAGAGACAGTCTACAAACAAACAAAACAAGACAAAACAAAAGAATCAGAGGGTTAGAAGTAAGTACTCACTCCTAAGTAGATACTAGATGAAAAGCAAAGGATAACCAGACTACAAACCACAGATCCAGAGAAGCTAGGAAACAAGGAGTACCCTAAGAGGGACACATGGATTGCACTGAGAAGGTACAATAGATGAGATCTCCATGAGTAAACTGCGGGGGGGTGGGTAATAAAGGGTAGGGGATTGGAGATGAGAACATAAGGGAATAGAATGGTCGAGCTGGAACAGGGAAGGGGTGGGAGAGCAATGAAAGAGAAACCATGAGAGAGGGAGACATCATGGGGATAGGGAGAAACTGGGTGCTAGGGAAGTTCCCAGGAATCCACAAGGACAACTCCACCTTAGACTACTAGCAATAGTGGAGAGGGTGTCTGAACTAGTCTACCCAAGTAATCAGATTGGTGAATACCCTGTCATCATAGAGCCTTCATCTAGTAACTGATGGAAGCAGATGCAGAGACCCACAGCTTGGCACCAGGCCGAGTTCCAGGAGTCCAGTCGAAGAGAGATAAGAGGGATTCTATGAGCAAGAGGCATCAAGATCATGATGGAGAAACCTACAGAGACAACCAAACCAAACCAGTGGGAACTCATGAACTGTGGACGGATAGCTGTGTAGCTTCCGTGGGACTGGACTAGGCCGTCTGCATAGGCAAGACAGTTGTGAAGTTTGATCTACTTAAGGGGCCTCCTAGAAGTAGGATCAGAATCCATCTCTGGTGCATGAGTAGGTTCTTTGGAGCCCACTGCCTATGGTGGGACACCTTACACAGCCTTGGTGCAGGGGGAGGGGCTTGGTCCTGCCTCAACTGGGTATATCAGGTTCTTCTGACTCCCATGGGAGGTGTTGCCTTGGAGGGGGTGGAAATAGGGGGTGGGGGTGGGGAAGAAGGCTGGAGGCTGGGAGGAGGGAGAGAGGGGGGAATCTATGGTTGGTATGTAAAATGAATAAAAAAATTCTTAATAATTAAAATAAGAAAAAAAGAATGATATAAGGAAAACATCAAGAATAAGAGAGTTAGAAGGAACTAGAAGGGAAACATCAAGAATAAAGATAGAGTTAGAAGGAAAACATCAAGAATGAGAGACGGAAATCTCCAGGAAAATGAAGAATAGAAAACGCAAAAGTAGAACAAAGAAAAGGTCTGAAGGAAACCAGCAAGAGACTGTGTGAGTGTCTTTTCCCCTAACCCCCTCAGAGAAAAAAAGTCTAGTATGCCCTAACTCTGGGTTTCCCTTTGAGCCCTGTCCTGATGGAGGCTGGCACCACAGGCAGAGGTATCTTCCCTTCTTGAAGTACATTGAACTGTAAGATGAAATAAACCCTTTCCTCCCCAAGTTGGTTCTTGTCATGGTGTTTATCACAGCATTAGAAACCTAAGGCAAGGATTAAACAGCCAGGCAGTTGTTTTAATATCTAGAGGATGGGAGGGTTCGTCCAACTTTAGTGTCCCCTAGGAAATCACCATGTAACTGCTATGCAGGAAGGTGATGGGTTCCACAAGCTGATGTTCATAATTACATGTTCTACATGTAATTATGGAGCTAATGCTATGAGTCAGGCACAGTCCTGTGTTATAACAGTCACAAGGGCACGGTTACATCCTGGGGGAGCTGACTTCCATGCCTAACCTTTTTTAATGTTATTGTTATGATTATCATGGTATGTATAATGCATGTATAGATATGGGTGAGCATGTATCATGGTATACATGTGCCATGATGTGCAATTGCCATGGTGTGCATGTGGATTTGAAGGAAAAATTTCTCCAGTGATTCTCTCTTCCATGTGGATCCCAAGGATCAAATTCAGGTTGTCAGTCCTGCAGGAGAAGTACATTTCCCATAACCATCCCATGGCCTAATGACCGGTTCTGAATGAGAATTGTCTAAGCTTTATCAGTGCTTATCTTGTGTGTGTGTGTGTGTGTGTGTGTGTGTGTGTGCTTATCTTGTGTGTGTGTGTGTGTGTGTGCTTATCTTGTGTGTGTGTGTGTGTGTGCTTATCTTGTGTGTGTGTGTGTGTGTGTGTGTGTGTGTGTGTGTTTGAGAACTATGGGAATTCTGAACAATTAATCTAGGGTGAAGCATAACCAAAATTTACAAATGAATCTGTACGCATATTTCAAATAACTATTTATATTATATAATTTCAACAAACATCAAACTCAGTATCTTCTCTCTTTGTCAGATTAGGTAGGATAAGACACTGTATACATTTAAGTTCTTTTACACACATACATATGTGTGAGATATTATCTACTTTTCTATATTTTATTTACATATAGAGACACTTACACAGAAACACAGAAAAATATACAGCTGCTCTGGAGAAATGGCTCACTGATTAAAAGCATATGCTGTTATCTCAGAAGCCCTGGATTCCATTCCCAGCACCCACATGGTGGCTCACATTCTGTAACTCCAGTTCATGGGGATCTGATATCCTCTTCTGGCCTCCCCAGGCACCGCATTCACTTAGTTCACACACACACACACACACACACACACACACACACACACACACACACACACACACACACATAAACCCACAAAGGAAAAATACAACTTTTACAATATGTATTAATAGATATCTATCAAATGGGTACATTATATCTACATTCATTACAATACACAGAATCTCTAGTAAAAAGTTTCATAAACAGCTCTTGTAGTATTTTGTGAAAAAGTCTTAGAGACTTTCCTCACACTGAACACCTGTTTTAACTTTTTTTTTTTTCAAGACAGGGTTTCTCTGTGTAGCTTTGCGCCTTTCCTGGAACTCACTTGGTAGTCCAGGCTGGCCTCGAACTCACAGAGATCCACCTGCCTCTGCCTCCCAAGTGCTGGGATTAAAGGCGTGAGCCACCACCGCCCGGCTGAACACCTGTTTTAGATGGCACACAGTGGAGACATGCTTTTCTACTTATGCATTTCTACTTTAGACTTGCCACAGTTGTACAAAGCAAAACACGTTCCTCCAAGAGTAAAGACACATTCTCTTGCTTTGTCACTTACCTGCTATGCTGAATAGTACAACAGTAAATATAATACTTGTCAATAACCTCCTGGGTACCAGCTCAGCCAGCAATTTCCCAAGGAAATATGGTGGCACTCTGTAGTATCCACTGGTATGCTCATGTCTGGAGAGACAAAGATCATGTTAAACATCCTTAGATTAGTCCAGAAGACACAGGTGAGATGATGGCTAAGCTGACTACTGTCTTGACAGGGAGCCTAACAGGACAGTGTCCCCTATGCTCCATGCTGACTCCCATACACATCCCCATCTTAGGGACCAGCATCTCTAGGCCAGCATCCTGATGACATTCTCACTAGGATTCTCCCCATCAGAGAACTCTACCTTGTTTTGCCCACTCTGGTCAGACAACAGACCCTCCAGGGAAGCAGCCCCATGTGCCTCTTCTCAGAGTCTCTGCCCCTCTGAAGCTGGTTCCCTGAGGAGCAGCTCATTCCTACCTCACCTCAGACAGTGGTCATGGAGACTTCTCTCCTTCCAGTTCTCATGAAGAAGGTGACACTGTCACTCTGAGGTCACAGTGCAGCCTCAGGACACAACATCCTTCTCTCCAGCTACTCTCACTTTAGGACAGATGTACTCCTTAGTAATCTCTCTGTACAACTGTGAATCTTTACCAGATACGGAACCTGATCCTTTCCCTTCCAGCCCTTCCAGATCCCAAGCTCTTCCCCTCCCAGTGTCTTCTTTTCATCTCTGGTTTTTGTTTTGTTTTGAGACAGACTCACCTCTACAGGCTGGCCTTAAATTCCATATATAGCCAAGAATGACCATCCTCCTGCCTCTACCCTGGCCCCAAGTGCTGGGATTACAGGAATACAGCCATGCTCAGGGTTTGTGGTACTGTGAATCTAACACAGGGTTTCAGGCACACAAAGCACTCTAACTACTGAGTGAGGCCCTCAGCTCCTCTCTCCTGGGCATGCACTTGGAGAAAATCTTGGCCATCTTTGAGAGCAGTGAATCCTAAGCATAAGCCACCAGGAAAAGGTTCTTCCATGTTTGAAAAGCACAGGAGATAAACAGCCCTTTTCTACACAGCTGCTGTCTGGCTCTTTCCAGCCCTCCATCAAGAGGAGACTCTCATTCTTGTGCAGCTGTACCTCTCCAACTCCAATGTGCTGCCGAACCCACCACACTTTAGCTCTGTGAAACCCCTGACATCCTTATTTGGCGGGGGGTTAATGCATTTCCTGTTATTTTCAGCCCCATACAACTGTGTGGTCTGCAGCACTGAGATCTGATGATCTCACCCCAATTTTGAAACTTTCTCTAAGCAGCAGACACCTGTGCTCTTGATTTCTCATCCATTTTCAGTTAATATTAATAATCTCTTTACCTACTTCAAAAATCATGATACCGCATGATAAACACAAAATTTCGTAATTTATTTATTTTCAACTAAATAAATAAGAAAAAGGGGAAATTACTGGCAATTTATGAGATAAGATTCTAGGCCTAAGAATGAATGTAGTTCACTTGATCACCAGCCCCTGATGCCTGCTTCTGGAGCAAAGGGTTACTCACAAAAAGCGATTCCTGTCGATCACAAAGAGTTCCCCAGCGGTCACACTTGTGATGCTCTGAAAGCCTATGAGCAAGAAGAGCAGGTTGGCTCTGCAAGGAGAGAATGGAGGCAAAAACAACAATAAATTCAACATTAGGATGGTTGATTTCCAATACACCTTACATTACACGGATCAATTCTTAATTTAAAAAAAAAAAATAAAGCAGTACTGGAGATATGGCTCAGCAGTAAAGATTGCTTGTTCTCTTGTAGCAGACCCAGGTTTGGTTGGCAGGACCCACATAGTGGATCACAACCATTTGTCACTCGAGTTCAAGTAGAGACTGTGCTAGCTAGTTTTATGTCAATTTGACACAAGCTAAAGTTATCTGAAAGGAGGGAACCTCAACTGAGAAAATACCTCCAAAAGATCTAATTGTAAGGCATTTTCTTAATCACTGATGGATGGGGAGGGCCCAGCCCATTGTGGGAATGCGTCCCTGAGCTGGCTGTCCTGAGTTCTATAAGAAAGCAGGGTAAGCAAGCCATGGGCAACAAGCCTGTAAACAGCACCTGCCCATGACCTCTGCAGATTCCTGCCTAGTTCGAGTTTAGGTCCTGACTACCTTCAGTAATGGAATACAATGTGGAAATGTAAGCTGAATAAACCCTTTCCTCCCCAACTTGCCTTTTGGTCATGAGCTTAATCAGAGCAAAACAGGATCCAATGCCTCTTTCTGATAGTCACAGATCTCAGGCAAAACACAGACGTACATATAGGCAAACACTCATACACATAAAAATAAAATAAGTACTTAGAAAAAGAAATATGGAAAATGTATAACTGTTCTGGTTAAAAAGATCAGGAAATATGAGTCTCATGAGATATTTTCCTCTTTGTCTCCTCAGTGATATCTATTAATTGAAGTGTGTCTTCTAAAATGCAATAATTGGATAAAGACCCTTAAATGTAATGATTCTAGAGTATGCAATTTAAAAGTTAATTTGTTTTAGATGAAATGATGAGAGTTGAGCCCCATAATGTCATCTGTGTCCTCATCATGGGAAGAAACAGCATTGCAGTGTCTGCCAGGAGAGGGCTGAGACAAGGTGACCAGACAGGAAGAGGCTGGGAGAGAATCCTCACCTCAGATTCTCACACTACAGTGTGGAGACACATTTGGTTTTAAATCAACCGAGTCTGTGATATTCAGTCATGGCAGCCCAAGCCATCACTCCAATTTAACTAACAAAGTTGGTAAGCATCATTCCTAATGTATAAAGAGAGAAACATAAAGATTAATAAAACTCCAAGGAGTTTTCATATTCAGTTGGCTGTGTTACGAAGTGCTGTGGGATGGTCTGTATATCAAGTGTGTTGCTGATTGGTCAATAAATAAATCACTGATTAGCCAGTGGCCAGCCAGGAAGTATAGGTGGGACAAAGAGGAGAATAAAGCTGGGAAGTGGAAGGCTGAGTCAGAGACACTGCCAGCCGCCATGATGACAAACAGCATGTGAAGATGCCAGTAAGCCACAAGCCACGTGGCAAGGTATAGATTTATGGAAATGGATTAATTTAAGCTGTAAGAACAGTTAGCAAGAAGCCTGCCACGGCCATACAGTTTGCAAGCAATATAAGTCTCTGTGTTTACTTGGTCGGGTCTGAGCGGCTGTGGGACTGGCAGGTGAGAGAGATTTGTCCTGACTGTGGGAGAAGCAGGAAAACTAGCTACACAGAAGAGTAAGGATGAAAACATGAAACAGTGGAGGGAATCTCTACTCAACAACTTACTACAGACGTGAACTGCAGAAACATCTGTAAGGTCTTGATTTGATTATCCTTAAAATAGGCCAACAACTTCCTGCATGGTTTCCAGAGAGCTCGAAAAATAAATTCAGTTGTCAGAGACCAAACATGGACCATGGAAAAGTACTAGCTAGGCCAAAGAACAAGCCCCTACCCTAAACCGGATGCCCCTGAAGATAAAGAACAGGTCAGGCAGGTCAGGTAGCATAGCAACAGAACAATGGGCCCTGACCAGTGACCTTACCACCTAGCAGCCTCACGACTTGCACCTAGCCCTTTACCTGCACGTCCCCCTTGGTCATGCACCCCTTCCCTCCTCCCCTCCCCCTCCCATGCTATATAAGCCCTGCTGAGGAGAATAAAATTTGCAGCTTGATCAGAACACACTGTCTTGCTGTCTTCTCTCGTGTCTCCCCCATCCCTCTTATTCTTTCCCACAGGTGGGTCGCCCCCGTTGACACCCCGCTGGCCAGGGCATTCAGTCATGCTTATTTATGAAGAAATAGTATGTTGGTGTGATAGGGGATGGTAAGCAGGAGGAGGGGGAAGAAAAGACCCTCTGTAGTTTTCCTGGACACACATGTCAGGTTCCTCTAGGCAGATGCATGATTGGGTCGTAACAGCCAGCTACAAAACACCTTCTCAACTGACGGTCAGAGGTCACTGACTCTCTTTATCTAGGTACACAGTGGTTGTTAGATATCCAGATCAGATGAGGGAGACCTTGCCGGAGACTAGGTTTCCTACTACATTAAAGAAAAATTCCATTTTATAATCTACCAAAGACCAGATTAAAGAAGAAGGAAGGAAAAGAAAAAGACAGCCTAAGAATGGGTAAGACTCTGAGAAGAGCAGAAAGACCTCCAAACTCCTGGACTTAGGAGACAGAGGCATGAGGACTACTGCAGACTGAGGCCAGCCTGGGCTACATGACAAGTTCTGGGCCTGTCAGGTCACAACTGTATCCCTGCCTCAAAGGTCCAAACATACAGCAGAGGACCTGAGTACCCCATGACCAAACATTGAGTGGAGGAGCTGGGCACCCCATGACTAAACATAGAGCAGAGGACATGGGATTCTCCTCCTCTCCTAAAGAGCCAGACTTTCTTTCAAGGCTCATCTGTCTAACTTTATTCTACTAAATGTACAACTTTCTCTCTCCACTCTTCTATTCCCACACACAACCATTCTCCGGTGCTCAGGGCATTCAAGTTGTCCTCAAGTTCCATCTGTGCTTACTTTCATATGTTTTTTATCAACAAAACCAAGAACTTAAAAAGGGAACCTAATGGCCCTAGCCATACTTAACCTTATATACCACATCTACTTTCTAATCTGAGTTTTTACTTATTATAATTATTGATTGACAACCTATAGCTACACATTTAAGGTATAAAACTAACATGATTCATGAACAATTTTGTAAAATAATTATATCAACCTAAATTAGGTGATGCCTGTCACTACAAATATACATCATTTTAAAGGTAATGCATTAGAAATATATCCTCAGAAACTTTAAAATGTGTATTAATATTTGCTGGATTGAAGGTGCTGTACAATCTGTCTCAAAGGAAAAAAATCTTACTTCTTCTACTTAACAGATTTTACACTCTTATGTGTCTCCTCATTCTCCACTGCCCTGGCAAAGTGTACACTATGCTGCCTGGAGGTCAATTGCTTTATAATCCACATGTAAGTGAAACATGTTTGTCTTTCTGGGTTTGGATTATTTTACTTTGCATGATGTTCTGAAAAATCTACAATTCTATCCATATTGTTACAAATTCCTGTTTCAAAAATAAGCAGCAAATGAGTGACATTTTTCTTTACTATTTATGTGTTGGCAGACCCTTAAATTCCTTAACTTGGTTACTATGCATAGTGCTCTAATGAACATCAGACTTCACATGAATTTTCGGTAAATTATTTTAAATAGGCATGTAAGTATGCACAGGATAAATGTCTGTATCTCATTGTTTTTTGCAATGCCTTCTCCTTAATGTTTGGCTGCCACCTCAACCCTATAATGCTGTTGAGCAAAAGGAGCTCACATGCCACAAAATTCAAACCTAGTTTTTACTTGGACAATATACAAAGGGTATGATGGATCCAGAAGCATCTCTGGCCTCTTGAACGTTACTGATGAAGTAAATATTGATATTGACCCTGAGATTAATTTAATAGCTTCATTCCATAGATGATCTTGAGGAAGTGTTTCAAACTATCCTACTTAGGTTTCTGTTGCTATGTGAACACCATGACCAAAAGCAACTTGTGGAGAATGGAATTTATTTGGCTTACATATCTCAGGTCAGAGTTCATCCCCAAGGAAAGTCAGACAGGAATTGAAGGCAGGATCTTGGAGGCAGGGATGGAAGCTGAAGCCACAGAGGCGCGATGCACAATCAAACAAATCAAATATATTCAAGAAAATTGACACTGGAGCAACAAAGGAAGAATAAATAGGTAACTAAAAACATCTATGCACCAAGGCATTATAAACAGAATAAAGAGGAAATACACAGAAGGGAAGAAATATAAGTGGATTGTGTTCTGGTAGGCAACTCACATGTCAGAAACAACTATAACTCAATAGCAAGAAAAAAATTAAGGGCCAAAAGATGGTTCAGCAGGTAAGATGACTGCCGCCATTCTTGATGACCTTGAGGACCATCTCTGAAACCCATGTGATAGAGGGATCAGCTCTTGTAATTTGTCCTGTGACCTCCTCGTATATGCCCACACGTATATACATGCTAAAGAAATAAATATATTGGAGTGAAAAAATCATTCCTATTTAAAATGGAAAATTGCAGATACTTCATAAAAATCCAATGAATTGTGATTTATTTTTTCTTAAATATCTTATTCAAAACAAGAAAGAACATAAGTTTGGGTGAGAATGTGGAAATACTGGAGCCCTTGGGTTGTGCTGGTGAGGATATAAAATAGTACAGTGAAGTTGGAGACAGGACAGCAGTTCCTCAAACAATTAACCCAATGGCCTATGATTTGGCAACTCAAGCTTTCTACCTTAAAGAGCAAAAGTCCAGAGCTCAAAGCGATGTACTTGCACACTCAACAGCACAGTTCAGAGAAGTCAAAGGTGAGAGCAAACCACATTTCCAGACACAGATGAATGGGAAGCAACACAGCACACACACACACACAATGGACTATTATTCTGCCTTACAGAGCCCAAGATATTCCCACACGTGCCACACTTTGATGAACCCGAGGACGTCACACCAATGGAAACAAGCCAGACAAATCAAACAAAAACAAAACCCAAACAACATCAAAACCCAGATGCTTGTGTGAATCCAATTCAGGGTTCGCCATTAGTCACATTCAGTGACAGAAAGTAGAATGGTTGATGCCAGGAATCGGGAGTGGGTAGTATGTGGAGTCTTCTTTCAGAGCTATCTGATTCTATTCGGGAAGAAGAAGAAAAAATGCCCTACATTTAGGTATGAAATGTATACTTTCATATTATCTACACATAAACACATGTGAAAAGTGAGTTGTTCCACTTAGCTTTCAATGTACCAACACACTCTGTCACACGACAAAATGGTTATTCTGTTCTTGTCACAAATTCTAATTCTTAATGGATTTATATAAGCTCTAAAAAAGTGACAGAATTTCTCAAAATCAGGATCCAAGTTTGCTTACCTGGTCTTGACTTCAGTACAATCATTTCGTAGGAAACGGAAAGTGATGCCCATAAGCACGGCCACTATGATTGTGATAATTACCTTTCAAAAAGAAAATGGGAAAAGAAAAGTTTCCATTAGGAGTCTAAAGTATTCAACACATGGTCCATTATTTTAAGATATATGGTTTCCTAATCAGATCTCTCCAGTGAGATAAACACTATACTTTGGCCAGAGTCCATAGAATATTAACACACATGTTAATAGGCTGCTTGTGTGTTAAACTGAAAGTTAAGGTCTCTGCAGTCTGAGGCTCTGACAGTACAGACCCTGGGAAAGCTAAGACCTCTCCCAGTGCTCCATCAGGAACGGCCAGTGAAGGGCTCAGTTCAGGTTCTGAAACATGGATGACACAGGTGGAGAGAATGCAGGTGCCTGGGGAGGTTGGGGACGAACCAAAGTAAGAGACAAAGTGTTCACCTGAACTGAGACCTCAGCTCTGGTGCAGCGAACATGTGCAATTTCTACTTCAAGTGGTTTAAAGAACTCGGGCTTTCCTTACTCTAGTTAGAAACAAGTTCACCCCAGGCCAGGGGACAGCTCAGTGGCAGAGCCCTGCACAACATACACTAGACCTAGCCCTGATCCCCTCAACTGCAAACCAAATAACAAAACTGAAGATGACTCACAACCCAGTTCCTAGCAGTGGGATCTTGTGTGCTAAGAAGTGGGGAGCTGGTCCTCACCTGTGTCACCTCTGGGAAGTCTGTGCCTGTGTGGGAACGAGCACTATTGCTGTCACCACAGTGTTCAGACAGCGTCCTCTGGGTCACCTGATGCCCCATTGCCCCTCATCTCTGTCACTGCTGCTCCATCAGCCTCAGCCAGAGCAACCTGTGCTCAAGTCTCATATAAGCTGCCAACTCCTGCAGACCCTCATCTACCTCCATCCACTCGGTCTGTGCAGACAGTCACAAGGACCTGCACTGCTTTGGTTTTGGGTTATAATGGCTTTAAAAGATGCTTCACTTAGGAAAGGAGTGAGGCTACATAATGCTGTAACTTATATTAATGAATCTATTATTCGTCTGATGATGTTTTATAAGTAGAATATTATGATCTAAAACAAAGCATCCTCCCACATAACTTGATAAATTATAAACCAAAATCCTAGGGCTTGGAGATAAGGCTCAGCAGTTAAGAGCACTTGCTGCTCTTGCAGAGGACCTGGGATTTAGTTCCCAGCACCCAAACTGACCCTAACAACCTTCTGTAACTCCAGTTCCAGAAGATCTGATGATTTCTTCTGGCCCCATGGGCATGCACATGATGCACAGATATCCACGGAGGCAAAACACCCATACATAAAAAATAAATAATTTTAAAAATTAGTCCTCAAATTTTAGCATTGCTAACATGCATGCACAAACACACAGATTCACACACATACACACACACCACACAAATATACTCATACTTCCTACCTTATGATATTGCCTCACTTTTGAATAGTGAGTAGCCCAATTTGATTAATGTAACTCACTTTTTTCTAGAGTAAATAACAATACATTAACAGCAGAACTGACTCTAAGTTCTGGTTGAACAGGGACAGGGAGGTAGGTCCATGGTAGAGTGATTGTCCTCTCACGGCTAAGGCCCCAAAATCAAATACAAACACAGCAGAATCCTCAACATCATGAAAAAAAAGATAAATGAATAAGTGATGGCCCAGTGAGCTGGAAGAACCACATTTCTGTGTGACATTCATGTTAAAATAACAGAAAATCTTAAGGCATGACGATTCTTCTTACAGAGCCAGTTTAAAGAAAAGTAGAACCTCACTTCCTCCCAGTTCCCAGTCAGGTGACACGGAAGAGCACTGTTCAGTCCAGTCACTATCTATGTGTGAACTGCACTCTGAGTGGCTTCTGCTCTCACCCTGGACTCCAATAAGGAACAGCACTCTGCAATGGGCTCATCTCTCATGCAGTGCATGCACAGGCTCCCTCAGAGAGGATCAATGGCCTTGTTTCCTCATCCCATGATTTCAACCACAGACCATCCCCCTTTCCCTCCCCAGTCACCTCCACCCTTCCTACTTAGACTTTTTCCAAAGTCCCTACTTTCATCTGATATGCTACAATTTTATCTGTTTATTCATTACCATTCATCCATCAACATGAAAAGTTACATCAGGAGAAAAGCCTTTGACTCCCTGACTCATTCCTGGACATAAGCTTGTTCAATGCACTGGTGAATTAGACAGGTGTGAGGAACTCCCAGGTGTGCTGAATTTCTTGTTGCCTTTCCTGAATTAAATTTCCTACTGGGATTACTCATTATAGTTTCTCTAAATAAAAAAATCACCACTAAAAATGTTTTCAGTAAGTAGTATTTTCTGTAATGTTTTATTTGCTTTATTGAATATTTCTATATGACAAGTAGAGATGACAAATACATGGAGCAGAGTAGAAGATAAATGTGACCCCGAAGTAGACTGACTCATAAACAAATTGTTCCCACTTGTTTTCACAATACAATTAAAAATAATTCATCAGATTACCTGAGTCATAGTGACATGCGGAAAACCCCAGTAATTTTTGAATAAATGAGAGATATTCCACCCGAGCTGATTCCAGAAAGGGGTGACACACGTGATCTCCTCCAAGGCCGAGCTCCTCCCTGCCCTCTGTTCCCCCAAGAGTGGATCCAGCTCAGTTCTCGTTTCTCTGTATAAGGAGGACTGTACATACATGTTGGCTAATTTTTCTGTGACTTGGTGCCGTCTCCTAGAAAGCTCTGTATATTTGTCAGCTTTTGGGTAAAAGTGGACAAAGACAAAAAACCGTTAGACAATAATTTAACTGATTTTCCTGAGACACTTTTTATGAGTAACATAAATTATGTGTAAGTTTTTCCTTGAGACAGTCTCGTATATTTGTGGGAACAGGAAGGCTGAGGCAGAGAGCCGCTGCCAGCCGCTGCCATGACAAGCAAGATGTAAGGTACTGGTAAGCCACGAGCCACGTAGCAACTTATAGATTAATAGAAATGGGTTAACTTAAGATAGAAGAACTAGATAACAAGAAGCCTGCTGCAGCCATAATTTGTAAACAATGTAAGTCTCTGTGTGTTTACTTAGTTGGGTCTAAGTGACTGCGGGACTGGTGAGTGAGAGAGATTTGTTCTGACCGTGGGCCAGGCAGGACTGTAGAAAACTCCAGCAACATATATTCTAGACTGGCATAAAATTTGCTATGAAGCCAAGGGTGGCCTTAAAACTTCTCCAGGTCCTCCTGTGTCTGTCTCAGGTGCTGTGATGACAGGCATGCACTGCCCACACAGCTATGTGCTGCTGGGATCCAAACTCAAGGCTTTGTGCATGCTAGGCAAACATTCTACCAGTTGACCTTCATCTTCAACCCACCACAGTTTGAGCATAATAAAATTACTCCTGTGTAATTCCTTTACAGATTAGAAAAGTGTCCCTAACTGACCTGACTACTGTCATTATCCCATGGATACAGCAAACTGAATGACTTCTTCCCATCTGGATCCCCATTCTTAACAAAGTCTTTCTTCCCTTATGGATCTATATTTTGTTACATAAAAGCCTGGTCCCTGCTTTCTGCCTCTTGTGAATGTATATGCAAACGTGTAAACTGACAAGTATCTTGTTTTTAAAATGTTATAAACAAAGTCAGGCATGTTGATATATCCCTGAATACCTATACTTGAGACATAAGACATAAAGAGCACACATTCAAACCTAGTCTGGCTGTATGAGCAAACTCTATCTAAAACAATAACAAGAACAATATCAGAAACAATAAGTACATTTACTTTTTAACAGAAATTTCCCCTGTGAAAATATCATGTAAGTGTTCTTTTATAAATTAAATAAAAAACACACAGCACTAACTTACAGCAATTGTTATTAGCAAATTTTAGGACAGTTGATTAACATAAAAAGTTATTTTCTAACGAGACTCATGGTTGTGTTTTAATGAAATCAGTTAGACAAAAACCTGTGACTCAAGAAGATTCACATACCATCATGGCCATCTTCCTCTGTGTCTAATATAGCCGAGAAACCTCCATTAATGATGTCCAGGAAGAAGTCTGCAGGGTTGTTGTGGGAATCATATATGTAACCTACAAAGAAGGCAGGCCAGGAACACAAACCTGAGGACCCTCTTTCAGAGTGTGGGATGGGGAGGAGAGACAAAATATAAGCACTTCTTCATTTTCTTGTGCTTCCCCACTAATTTATCTTACTCTGTGAGTTCGAGGCCAGCCTGAGCTACCAAGTGAGTTCCAGGAAAGGCACAAAGCTACACAGAGAAACCCTGTCTCAAAAAACAAAAACAACAACAAAAAACTATCTTTCCTATTATATATACACTCATAATATTTCAGCAATCTCTGCTTCACATCCCATTGTATACATTTGTGTGTTTATGTTGGTTTTATATATATATATATATATATATATATATATATATATATATATATATATACACACACATATACAATACAGAGACATAGAGTAGACATAGCCTAGACATAGACAAAGACAACTAGACAGATACATAGACCAAACATAGGAATAGACTAGACACAGATATAGTCATAGACAAATCTAGACATGGACACAGAATAGACCTAGACTAGACATAGACATGACATGGGCATAGGCTATACATAGACCCTGACATGAACTAGACGTAGGCTGGACATACACATAGATATGTGAACTCTTCCTGTGAAAGAATCATTTGAATTTGGCCTAAATTTTTATTGGACTCCATAGACTCACAAATGTTTGCACCTTTTTAAATGGCCAAGATTAATCAAAACAAAGAAAGAGTATTGTACAGCAAATATTAAAACATATATTTATAGTCAAAGAGAATCTTCCATAACTATATTCATATTTCACTAAGATGAAATTGACAGCATGAACCATTACAAAATATGTCATCATCAAATCTGACTGTAAACAAACCAGGTAGATGAAAAACATGAGTCCACAGAAGCCAGACTTAAGCCACTCTATCTCCCAAGCATTGCCTAAACCTGAAATGCAAAGTTACTACTAATTTAAGTAACATCTCCACAGATCCTGAGAGTCAAATCACACTAGGGGAAAACTGAAAACCACCCTCTGTTAAGTGAGCAAGAACAGGATGATGCTGGGCTTTCCAAAGCTGTTCCAATGACGGATAACTGAACTTGAGGACAGCATATTAATTAAGAGAGTCACCATAACTGGGAAGCAGGACAAGAGGCTCAGGAAAAATACTGTAACACAGGCATGACACAGGAAAGCAGAAAGAAAAGAGATCTGATCAACAAGCTTTGCTACACCACTAACAGAGTCCTGTAAAATGGAGAAACACACACACACTAAGTCTGCATGAGGGTCAAGCAGCATTCATGAGAAGCCCTGTTTTCTTCCTAGATCCCAAGAATGAAGGAACTCTCACAGCAAAAGCCAGTCATACCTTTGGATGTGAAGTACTCCAATGACTCGTGTGCAGGGCCATGATACATGACTTTTCCTGAGGCCACTAAGGTGAGGCTATCAAAAAATCTGAATATGGTGTACTGGGGCTGATTAATGGAGAAGATGATTGTCCGTCCCCTGATAGACATCCTAAGTTCAAAGCAGGAAAAGTCACTGGACAGCAGAACCTTGAGATTCTCAACAAAGTATTTTATTCCTGAAGTTATACTCTTTGTTTCCATTTCAGCTTGAATTTCCTTAAAAACAATTCATCCCTCTTATATTATGCACCTGATAGAGAAACAAAGCTCCAAACTTTTATTTAAAATATTAGGACTTCCAAAGTATGGGCTGTCAGTAGTCCAGGGTCCACTTGAGTGTTACTATGTAGATCTGTGGGCAGTCTTCTCAGACACTGAATAGGAATATGTGGGAGTCAATGCAAAGAATCCATATCATAAACAGGCTGCCCAGGTGATGGGCAGGTTCACTCAAGATTGAGACCAATGACAGAGCAAGTATTACAACTATGATTGTATGCACAATTCCCTTCAATCATTTATACTTTCAGTTTCTTCAGGAATTGGTTTTCTTTGTTCTGATAATGCAATTCACATTATAACCACTTGTTCTCCCTGATAAACACTTCAGCAATAACCTCATCTCAATTTTCACAATATTGGCATAAGACAATTCTAATATAATTTCCCCCTTTCTGTTGATAAGACTTTAAATGTCCAGCAACAAGCCAAGGGATCACAGTTAGTGAGGGGCAAAGCTGGGATTTAATCATTGGTTTAATTCCATGATAGGAAAAAATAAGCTGGACTACCATTTCAGGGAGTCATATCTTCTGTTAGGAGAAACAATAACCAAAAACAATGTTTAAAACTGCTTTGAAAATGCATTTATAAAAGCTGGGCGTGGTGGCACATCTGGCCTGGACTGACCAGCCCAGCTACCACCCAGGCATACATCCAGGGCTTTGAGTTTGCCCAACCCAACATCTACCCCATCTGTGACCTGCTGTAGCACATGTAGGGACTGATCCTGCAGAACCATAGCTGCAGGATCTCCATGACTCAGGGTAGCAGCAGGACATCCCAGAGGAGTTTCACTTGAGGGTCCTGCATTGACGGTGTACCAGAAGACAGAGGCCTTGAACCTCACCAACAACTGGTTATACAAGTAAAGCTGTTTGGACAGAAGGGTCTACTCCATGACGTGCTACAGCTCCCAGTGCCACTAATACAAATGAAGAGGTGATGGATGGGTGGGAAAGACAAGAGTGAAGTGTTTGTTTTTCTTTTGCTCTGTTGTTTTTATTGCTGCTGTCTTGCTTTTATATTGTTTTGCTTCTTTATTTTTTAATTAATATTTTAATTTCTTTTTAAATTTTCCTTTAGGGGATGCTATGAGGGTGAAGTGTGGATATGGGGGGACAGACTGGGAGTTGGGTGGGATTGGGGTGCATGATGTGAAATTCCCAAAGAATCAACAAAGAATTATTTTTTAAAGCTGGGTATGGTGGCCTATCTGTAATGTCCCAGCACTTGGGAGGATCAGGAGTTCAAGGCCCACCTAGGTTACATGAGACCCTGTTTTATTAAGTCAAACAGAAAGAACAAAAGAAAGAGAGTGAGTGAAAGAGTGAGGGAGAGAGAGGGGGGAGAAGGGAGGGAGGGAGAGAAAGAAAAAGAGAGTAAGAGAGCTAGACACAGTAGTGCACACCTTGAATTCCAGCAGAACAACTGGTTGGTAGAGACGAGATGAGGCAGAATAATTGCATAATAGCCAACTGTTTTCCCAGACAGACTATTCATAAATCACAAAGGAAAAACTATAATTTCATATAATATAACCAAACCACCAACATGATTAGATGACCAAGATTCAAGTCAGGCAAGCAAGATGTCTCAGTCAGTAAGGACACTTGACACCAAGTCTAAAGACCTGAGTTCCATCTCCAGAATCCACTTGGTGGAAGGAGAAAAACAAGTCCCTCAAGATTTCCTAGGACATCTACATGCATGCTAGACACACACACACACACACACACACACACACACACACACACACACACACATACAATACACACACACACACGATAGGTGATAGATAGATAGATAGATAGATAGATAGATAGATAGATAGATAGATGAAAAAATAGAAAATGATTTAATCACTAGGATGCACTTTCAGGAGTGTTGGAGACCAAGGAGAACACAGCATATCAGGGCCTGAGTCTGCTCCAAGAACAATGGGAGCAACCACACTTAGGATGGCCCCATGCAATGCACTAAGACTAGCCATGGCATGAGACACAGGGACAGAGAGAAGCGTTCCATACTGGAATATGAGCAAGAACTTGATCTTAGAGTGTCCTGAAGCAGACAGGAGAGGGGACAGACAGGGAAGGTGTGACACCTGAGGAGTCTACAGACTAGAAGGTGACAAGGCCCCAGGTGTTGACTTCCTCACCGGGAAGGTGCAATGGTGGATGATGTGGTTCTTGGAGGGACAGGCAGGAGTGGTTAGGGTGATGGACCGTGATGTCAGAACAAAACAAAGAACAAGGGGAAGGAAGGACAGACAGAGAGTGCAGTAAAGTTCAACAGCCAGGAGCCCAGGTCATGGGAATTAGACAGTCCTTATACGGTTCTTGGGGTTATTCAGTCAGTTTGAAACTTATTAAGTTTTAAATATAAAAACCTAATCTATGGTGATATTTTATTTGTATGTTAATAAATAAAGTTGCCTGGGGTTCAGAGCTAATAGCAAGCCATAGTAGAAGTCTGGCAGTGGTAATACATGCCCTTAATCCTGATCACATGACAGGCAGATCTCTGTGTGTTCAAGGACAGCACCAGCATGGAGACACATGCCTTTAATCTCAATACCAACGATAGAAGACCTGGAGGTCTGTATAGACAGGCAGTGATGAGGAGGCCATGTGGTTGGGTTTACAACCAATTAGAAGGCAGAAGAGAAAGTCAGTAAAAACACAGATACACAGGAAGTAGGTCTTTTTCAGAGGGGAAGGATGGCAGTGGCAGCGAGGCGTAAGAAAGGGTTTTAGTCTCAGTTCTTAGCTACTGCTCTGACCTCTTGGGCTTTTAACTCTACATTTGGCTCTGTGTTTCTTATTTAATAAGACCATTACATCTACACTAACCCTTATACTTTTTTTCTATAAATATTGTAGTCTCAGACTTCTTTCTTGAGAGAGGGAAATACCACTTCTTTTATTTCATTTTTCCCCTGGTTCAGGACCCAGACCTTAGGAATCATTCTCTCTGCCACCACATCCAGGGTCAGTTGCAGAGATAATCCTATTTATTCTCTATTGATTTAAGACCTCTCTCCCTTTCATTTGAGCCCGTTCCCTTTAGTGTTCACTGAGGCTTTCACAAGTCACTCCCACTCCTTGAGTCATAAAGAAAGCCTGACAGTCACTGCCTGGTGCATTTCTCATTGGCCCTTAAGACCCTAAAAGAATTCAAGCCTTGTGACCTCACTTTGGCCAGAGAATTGCTGATTGTATGTGTATATAAACTGAAAACTTTGGAGAACAAAGAGAGAACAGAGAACAAGACAGAAACATGCCTAGAAAGAGTACAGTGCGAGCTGATTCATTCCTTCACCCTGAGATCATTAGAAATTCCTCACTTGTTGTAGCAACTTTTTTGGACCCTGAAAGAGGCCTTTAGGGCTGGCACCTATAGGTCCTCAGCTGGTGTGTCCTAATGTAACTGGTGTCCATTTAAGATGAGGGTATAGGTGCATAAAGAGGAAGGAGACACCATCCACAACTCAGTGAGACAGGCCTCAGCAGACACATTAAACATGCTTTGCCTCAGAACAAATGCATTTCCCCTCTGTACAGCACTCTGTTCAGACCACACCCACTCACACCTAGCTCACTTGTCACATGTTTGAGGGTTATGGGGACATGTATTTAAAGCAGTGCTCCACCTTCTCCACAGCCATCTTTCCCTATGCTCTTGTCTCATTGTTCTTGACATGTGTTCCTTGTTAAATGAAGTTTCCCTCTAATAAACAAAGAAGAAATTCTGATGCTTAATTCTGAATCTCCTGCACCAAAAATACACACAAGTGACCAGGTATCAAGGGAATAAAATTTAATATTCTTTCAGCACTTACCTTCTCAGGACCGAGATGACATCTATTGTAGTCCTCAAGTCCAAGCCAGTGGTGGGATCATCCAAGAACAGAATGGGATGCTCTGCAACCAGCTCCATTGCTATACTGGTCCTTTTCTTGAGCTCTTTAGATATAGGCTAGAGCACCAACGACCATCATTATCAAGAAGAACAACCACAGTCATTGTCATTTGGTGAACTAGACTGTTCCAGAAATAAAAGATTTTGTTATGTCTTTATCCTGAAGAGCAGAGTATGGGCACCTGGGAGAAGAAGGACATCTCTCTTTTCCAAGTGAATAGAAAGAGGCTCAGGTCAGACTTGACATGAAGCCCATGCTAATGACAGTTACTGTTTGTTCTTTATCAAGTCACATGTTCTAGGGTAATGAGTTATCACACTCCAAGCCTGGCACAATGAGATCTCTGTCGAAGGACGAGGAAGACAGAACAGGAAAAGATGAAGTATCTCTAGTAATTTAGTAGTCACTTAACACCTTCCCAATACACACCAATGACACAGGCACTCTACACAACATAACCACAACACATCACACACACTCCACTCAACATACATACAAATAAACACATACTACACAACATACACAGAACACAACACATTGACACAGAGGCACACACAGACACACACTACTTTTTATCAAAAATTCCACACTGCCTTATTAGGACCTTTTTAACTCCCTTACAGCTTTGCAAATTGACATTATTTACACTGTACAGCATCACAGAATTCATGACTCATCATTGTAGGCAAATCAAAGGGTACTATTGTCTACAGGTCAAACTGTCAAGGTCTTGGACAAGTCAATGTCATTGTGTAAGGTGAGAGGGAATAGCAAGATTCATGGGGACACAGAAATAGGGAACAATTCTCCCCAAACACTGTAACCAAAACCATGATCAAGCCCTACTGACAACATACAACAAAGGATGTCTGGGGAATGTGGGTGAGTGTGACCATGACAAGGCTGAGGATAAAAAGGAATTATTCATTTTGATAGTTAAGAATAGAGTTTATAGGTAAGCTGTAGCTAGAGTTTTCCTGCCTGGCCCACAGTCAGGACAAATCTCTCTCACCTGCCAGTCCCACAGCTGCTCAGACCCAACCAAGTAAACACAGAGACTTATATTGCTTACAAACTGTATGGCCATGGCAGGCTTCTTGCTAACTGTTCTTACAGCTTAAATTAATCCATTTCTATAAATCTATACCTTGCCACTTGGCTTGTGGCTTACTGGCATCTTCACAGGCTATTTGTCATCATGGTGGCTGGCAGTGTCTCTCTGACTCAGCCTTTAACTTCCCAGCTTTATTCTCCTTCTTGTCCTGCCTATACTTCCTGCCTGGCCACTGGCCAATCAGTGATTTATTTATTGACCAATCAGCAACACACTTGACATACAGACCATCCCACAGCACTTCCCCTTTTCTTTTTTTCAAAAAGGAAGGTTTTAACCTTAACAAAATAAAATTACATATAATTTGGGAATTTGGGCATAGCTTCTCTTACTACTTCCTGCTGGAGGGGGCCGCTGTATCTTATGGGGACACAAAGAAAATTTTAGGATTATGGAATAGTCCATGAGGTTGTATTGTCTGAGCCAGTTGCCTTTAAACCATTCTGGATGTTGGATCATCTGGGCCATGGTGTCATCGGAGACCTTTCAGGGGGTCTTGGCTGGTCAAACCTGATGTATCTTAATCTGGAACAAATCCATAGCCTCTTGCTTTTTGTGGAAACAAAAGCAGAGTCTCCTTTCCAAAGCAACACATCCTTACATCCAAATTTTGAAGTCAAGGTATCTTTAAAATATACATATTGGTTTAACTCAACATCTTTTATGATCAAATGTTTTTCTGCAGTTAAAAATCCCAAAGACAACACAATCCAGATTTTCTGTGTAATATTTATCTTTACGTGGATTATTTTTATATTAATTTTACTGTCTCTTTAAAGACTTTATTTTTTAAAACTATGTATTTGTTTATATAACTGTATATATCACCTTTTTTGTCTCTTTCAAGCCTACATATATTTTACACACATTGTAAACTATTACATCTGTCTTATTGTGAATCTATTGCTTTAAACTGCAGCATTTGTAAGACTGAAATGGTGCTATGGCTGCTGGCTCCGCCCACCTCAGCTTCCCAACATGGTGGTGGTATGTTTACCATCAGCTCTGGGAGCTATCGTGGGTCTATGCTTTTATCCAAGCATCTTGTAGCCCAGAAACCTCTTTTTTTGTTGTTGTTGTTTTGTACTAGCGAAGTCTAAATCTACCATGTAGCTTAATGTTCCACTTGCAGAGGCCTCATTCCCGCCATATGGCAGGTCGAGCACGCACGCATGCTAGGAACCTGCCAGTTGCTCAAACCGGCAGCTGCCACTCTTTGAGAGAGACAATTAAGAAGCTGTTTTTAGCTCCGTTTTAGAATCTTTTTTCTCACTTTTTAGGTGGAAACTCTTGCCCCATTTTGGGCGCCATTTTTAGCTAGAGTTTTTCTGCCTGGCCCACAGTCAGGACAAATCTCTCTCACCCGCCAGTCCCTCAGCCACTCAGACCTGAACAAGTAAACACAGAGACTTATATTGGTTACAAACTTTGTGGCCGTGGCAGGCTTCTTTCTAACTGTTCTTACAGCTTAAATTAATCCATTTCTATAAATCTATACCTTGCCACGTGGCTTGTGGCTTACTGGCATCTTCACATGCTGTTTGTCATCGTGGCAGCTGGCAGTGTCTCTCTGACTCAGCCTTCCACTTCCCAGCTTTATTCTCCTCCTTGTCCAGCCTATACTTCCTACTAGCCACTGGTCAATCAGTGATTTATTTATTGACCAATCAGCAACACACTTGACAAACAGACCATCCCACAGCACTAATATGGTGGTATTTTATTTATATTGAAATGTGATTTTAATTGTATGTTAATAATTAAAGTTGCCCGGGGGTCAGAGCTATTAGAGCCATAGCAAGAGTGTGGCGGTGGTGGCGCACACCTTTAATCTCAGCACTTGGTAGACAGAGCTAGGTAGATCTCTGTGTGTAAAAGGATACAGCCAGCATTGGAAACACACACCTTTAATCTCAATCCCAACCATAGAAGACCTGGAAGTCTCTACAGACAGGCAGTGACGAGGCAGTCATGTGTTTGTGTTTACAACCAATGAGAAGGCAGAACCAAAAGTCTTTATAAAGACAAACACACAGGAAGTAGGTCCCTTTTGGAGAGCTCTCTTGACTGAAACAGGAAGGGTAAGGCTCTGAGTTCTGACCTCTTGGCTTTCTTCTCTGAATCAGCTCTGTGTTTCTTATTTAATAAGACGATTGGTTACATCTACATTTGGCGCCCAACATGACAAGCTCTCTTGGCTGAAGCAAAAAGGGTAAGGCTCTTAGCTCTGACCTCTTGGCTTTCTTCTCTGAATCGGCTCTGTGTTTCTTATTTAATAAGACGGTTGGTTACATCTACAGTAAGCAGATGTTATTATTTTTATGGATGAAAAGTAATTAAGTACTCAGGAGGAAAATACTCCCGAATGTTCTTTTAAAATGCCGCAGTGAGAAACAGCTTTAGTGAATATGCTGTTGTCAACACTAAGGAGCTCAAGAGCTGGTATTAGCAAGTGTACTCTTGTGCTGGCTATGTAACAGTCAAACATTCACAGTAACCACACATTTCTCAAATAAAAATCTTATAAAAGGCTGAAGAGAAGTCTTTGCAGGGAAAAATCACTTGCCACAGAAGCTTGAAGCCTGGATTCAAAAGTTGTATGTGGTGGCATGCATCTGTATTTCTATCAAGATGTAATTACAATGAGCTGGAAGGGGGAGCAGGAGCATCAGGCATGAGTGTAGGGCATCAGTAAAACAAGACAGACCCTGACTTACAAACAAGGCAGAGGAGAGAATGGACCATTGACAAAGGTGTCCTATGACCTCCATGTGTGTGCTATGGCATTTGGGCAGACACACACACACACACACACACACACACACACACACACACACACACCTTTTTTTGAAAGCTATCATTAAAAATTATATTAAAATTCTTGCAATCTATTACATTTTATGACTTTCAAGAAGTTAATAAATATCTTCCTATGTTGTCCCTAAAAAAACAAATAAGGAACTTAGGGCAGTAACTAATTATTGTTAAAAACAAAACTAAAATAATGTACTTTATTGTAAACATAAAATATGTAAATAAACAGAGCCAAAGCAAACAAAATTCCATCACTTTGGAAAAAAGAACACATGGTGAATGTCAGCTTTTCTTCCCAACAAGATCAACAACATCTCATAAACGACTGTGGAGAAGTATCATGGGAATCAACAGCCCTAACCTTCCTATTCCTCACTGCCTCTAAGGAGGAGTCACCACAGGAGTTAGTTCATGAGAATCATATTCTGGGGAGCACATTTTCATCAGTACCACCAAATGTCTGCTCAGAAGGCATCTATATATAAACTTCTCAATGAATTAATGTCATTGTGAGAGACAGGATGGTTTGGAGGACACAAGAAAAGGAAAGCAATCTTGATATTATAATCTCTAAGTATATAATAAATACAGTACTTAGTCAGGTTTTTATAAACAATATAATAGTAAAATATATTTGGGGAATTTGAATGGTTATTACCTGACAGACTGAGTATATCAAGGTTTACTTTATTTTGATAGTTAAAAATGGAATTACTAAGATAAGCAAATGTTCTTATTTTTCATGGATGAAGAAATAAGTATAAATGGATAGAATACTATATAATACTCTTTTTAATATGTCAATAAGAAACAAGTGATCTATTTCAATAGTCAGCTGTGAAGTTCACCGCTCATCTATTACCTTTCCTGATCCTGCACAAGTCTCAACAGGAGGCATCACTGGTCCACTCATTGTTACACTTGCCCAAGGTTGTATCTATAAAACCTTAAATAGGGTCTAACTATTAACAGAAGATGAGGAAATGGGGAGTGAGGGCAGAGTGTACCCTAGTTTTATGGCCAGTTGCTAAGATAAAAGGTAAACAAGGAACAAAAAGTTTTATTTCAGCACACAGTTCAAAGTACAGTCAACCATGGCAGGGAAGTCCAGGCAGGAAGCTGATGCAGCTGGTTACAGCCAGTCAAGAGCACAGAGAGGATGAATACATGCAGGTCTGTCAGTGTTCAACTCACTTTCCCCATTCTCATGACACCCAGGACCCAAACACAAAGAATGGTGCTGCCTGAGTGGGCTGGGTCTTTCCACATCGCTTAACTCAATCAAGACAGTCACCTCAGAAATGCCCACAAGACAACTGACTACATTTCCTCATAGAGACTCTCTTCTAGATGATTCCAGGTGGCTCCAGACTGTGTCAAGGTGACAGTTAACACTAGCCACCACAGACAGGATGGGATAAAAACACAGAAAGGCTACAGAAAATAACAAGCACTTAATAAGTCAGAAGTAAATGCTAAAGAGACCAAGTACAACCCTGGAGGAAATAAATACAGAGTGAAACACAGAGCCAGAGTCCTCAATCCCAGGTCATATGTCAGTCCAGAAAACATTCTGAAACAGCAAAGGGACAAGTCCTCAGGGAAGAGACAATAAACAGAAGAAAGCACTTGTCAGATTCTCCATGAGTCAAGAGTTTAAGGCTGAGGAAGAGGAGGCTCATGTGAGGAAACTTGGAAATGGCCATGTGAGGAACACTTCCCTTCTGGATCATACTCCATTCCCAGGTTTAACCATTGCTAAGAAGGCTTCCCAGCTCAATCTCCACTTTACATCATGTAACCAGTCACTTACTCATTAATACAGAGAGCAGCCACCTGGACCACACACATTAGAGGAAACTGATAATGGAGGGTCATATAACCCACACAGAGATCGATCTCTCTCTGTCTCTGTCTCTCTCTTGCTCTCTGTCTCTGTCTCTCTCTGTCTCTCTCTGTCTCTCTCTGTCTCTCTCTCTCTCTCTGTCTCTCTCTCTCTCTCTCTCTCTCTCTCTCTCTCTCTCTCTCTCTCTCTCTCTTTCTCTCTCTCTCTCTGAGTCTTCCAAGATGTCTCTTCACATTACCTGGACACTTGCCACTTTATCCAGATGCAGAAGTTCAAGGATCTCATCAATTCGCCTTCTTCTTTCATCTCTTGTTACAGTCATCGGGAGTCGAAGAGCTGCTGAGAACTCTATGTTGTCTCTCACAGTCACTGTGGGCATCACCACATCATTCTGAAGGTTAAATGGAATTTCAAATTTAATTACAAATAGTTATCAGCAAGACCATCATTCTAATATGTTTAACCTAGTCACACATACAGCATACCCAGTGTAATGCTGTACTTAAAAATATTACTACTTTCAGGTACAGAGCCGGATGAAATCATTTCACCACCACCACCCCTGCTGTGGGATGGTCTGTATGTCAAGTGTGTTGCTGATTGGTCAATAAATAAATCACTGATTGGCCAGTGGCTAGGCAGGAAGTGTAGGCGGGACAAGGAGGAGAATAAAGTTGGGAACTGGAAGGCTGAGTCAGAGAGACACTGCCAGCCGCCACGATGACAAACAGCGTGTGAAGATGCCAGTAAGCCACGAGCCATGTGGCAAGGTATAGATTAATGGAAATGGATTAATTTAAGCTGTAAGAACAGTTAGCAAGAAGCCTGCCACGGCCATACAGCTTGTAAGCAATATAAGTCTCTCTGTTTTCTTTGGTCAGGTCTGAGCAGCTGTGGGACTGGCAGGTGAGAGAGATTTGTCCTGACTGTGGGCCAGGCAGGAAAACTCTAGCTACACCCCCCCCCCCATTTGCCTTCCAAGTAAAGCACAGGGATTTAGGTGACTGCTACCTGCAATTATTTGCAGAAGGCATCTTCTATGCAGTGGGGAAAGATGAAGGGATGGCAAAATCGGACAGCAGCAGTCTTTGTAGAATTAAATCCCAGCTGCAGTTACTAATGCTGTACCACAGCTGTCAGACTCCAATCCCTCCCCATCTTCCTACTTAATACTGCCAGCCTCAGGGTAATGAGTCATTAGGAAAAGCTGGTGTAGAGAAAGTTAGGCCTATTAATGTGTCATATAATTATTTAGAAAAACACAAATCTACAAGCTGAGCATCTACCCATACAGAGACAAGGGAAATTTAAAATTACAAACCCACCAACACTTACTTGTGGTACATAACCAGAAGTACATTTGAAATTAGCAGGTCGAGGTTTCCCATTTATCAAAATATCTCCTGATAATCCACGTGGATCTTTCCTTGCAGCTAAGACATCTAGCAACCTACAAAGGGTTATATATGTTATGTAGTTTACTTTCTCCCTTCAGTAAAACTATCATCTTTTAGCTACTCAGAATAAAAATTCTACATATAAAGTAAGACAGAAAATTAAGTAGTGAACAAGTCAAAAGTTTAATTGAAAACACACACACATACACACACACACACACACACACACACACACACACACACACACACACACATTCCTGTTCAGTCTGTGCTCTAATACAGCCCAGAATTATGAATGCAAGACACGATCCACATGACTATCCCTCCCTGCAATCTGACCTTGGGACTCAAACTGGTAATGTGCTGCTGTATTTTGAGAATTAGCCCTGGTGATGATTTCTTGTCACCAGAAAACTTCTGCTTCATCTTCCCAATTTTAATACTGTCTCCACCACATTAAATATTAATATGACTTGAAAACATATGCCAATCACTCCTTTGTTTCCTATCAGTAAAGTGGACCTAGTAAGACTTTCTGTTCTTGGTAGTAATTTCAAATGCATCCCCCTGAACATTATCCACAGCACATGCATCCAGACTCACACTTATACACTCACAGATATCCTCACACAATACTTACAGACTTATACATATATACTCACAGATATACTCACACAATACTTACAGACTCACACATATATACTCACAGATACTCACACAATACTTACAGACTCACACATATATACTCACAGATATACTCACACAATACTTACAAACTCACACATATACAATCACACAATACTTAAATAACCCCTGTGGAAGTGATTTTACAGCACTGGATACAGAAACTGGATACATGTGCTTTCCGTTATACTCACCAAGATCTGCTCCCATCTTCAGGTCCCATGATGGCATTGAGGCCAGGTCTCATGATCCCACTGTAAGCACAAAAACATACTGGTTGATTTTCTATTTTAAAGAAGTTTTATTTACTTAGGGTCTACAGTGAACATGCTATTGAAGTTGGATGAAATTTTATACAGAATATAAGTACAAACTCATAAGATTGAAATATTAATAGAAACCTATTATTTACAAAAGATGTCAAATGCTAGTGGGGACTCATCAGATAAATACCTCATATCACAAAAACCCTTTTATTTATTATTTGAAGGACTTGTCTTTTTTGAAACATGGTGCATCTAAGTTCAGTGTTCCTTGAAGCAAGTAGCAGGTTCTCATGAAGACTCCTTTACTGTGGTGGTATTGTGCTCCCCAAAATATTGTGCACTCTAATAAACTTATCTGGGGTCAGAGAACAGACAGCCACTAGATATAGAGACTAGAAAATGGTGGCACTCACACCTTTAATCCTAGCATTCCAGAGGCAGAAATCCATCTGTTCAAGGATACAGCCAAGCATGGTGACTCATGCCTTTAATCCCAGAAAATGAGCCTTTAATCCCAGGGAGTAATGGCAGATAGCAGAAAGGTATATAAGGTGTGAAGATCAGGAACTAGAAGCATTTGGATGGTTAAGCATTTGTCTGGTTAAGCTTCAGGCTTTCGAGCAGCAGTTCAGCTGAGAGCCATTCGGATGAGGACACAGAAGCTTCCAGTCTGAGGAAACAAGACCAGCTGAGAAGTTGGCCAGGTGAGGTTAGCTGTGGCTTGTTCTGCCTCTCTGATCTTCCAGAGTTCACCCCAATACTTGGCTCCAGGTTTGTTTTTATTAATAAAGACCTTTTAAGATTCTGCTACACTTTATATATACAGCCTTTATGTGTCAATTATGACAGTTTCTTGCTCATGTTTAATGATCAGTATCTTCATATAGCCCTGCTTGCTGCTTTGTATACCTCATCAGAAGAAACCAATGATTCATGGATTATCAGTAGCAGTATTGTTTCTATTAAAATAGGATCAAACCCAAATCAATGTATCTTAAGTAGAAATCAAAAGACTAGAAAGAAGTGCTCCAGAGGACAAGAGAGGATTGCCAAGTTTAACACTCAAACACATCAAAACAAAACCACCTTAATAAAAACAGAAAAGCTAAATACACACACATAAAATGATGACTTCCTTTCCTGATAAAGAGATTAGCATATGCTCAGTTTAGAATTGAGAAACATCCTTCAGGTACAGGACATTCTTCATTGATATATAGGTACAGCACAAACACAAGGTATGTCAGAAAACTGATTGATTCAGAGTAGTGGATATCCAGATTGAAAAGGGCATATTCTTATAGAAAACTTAGCTACGTTCCCATTTCTTATTTCAGTCCAGACAATGTGTCAATCCTTTGCCCTGCCCATTCCCCTCTTAGTAAGAAAATGATGGAAGTTCTGGTGGAGGAGCAGAAATGACCAGTGCCCAAGAACAGAGGCCATGGTTGGGGTTGGGAGGGAGAGTCTATACAGACAGCGGGGAAATCTTGGTATGTGTGCTCTGTCCTCAAAATTTGGTCAGAAGCATGCCTTCTCCATGTTATGGAACAATGTGTGGAATGTTGGTTTTAGCTCTTCTTAGCTCTTAATGAATTTTGAGCAAATACACGAGGACCCGGACTTTCTGCTGTTGGGACTTCCTCATTGCTTCCATCTCATCACTTGTAACTGACCCAGGCAGCCTGTTAGAAACTCTCAGTTCAGTTATGAGAGTGCATGTGCGTACAGACACATATACAGTTCTTTTATATATTCAAATTTCTAGGTATTAAATCTTCAATATTCCCTCATCATATGTTGATTTTAATAGTATGTTTGATATTATGTTTTCATCCCTAATTTTATTGAATTAAAATCATTTCCCAGGGGTTTTTTTTGTAATATGTCTAAGTGATGGTCAAGCTTATTCGTATTTTTAAAAACCAACTTTTTGTGCCATTAATCCATTAAGCTGTTACTTTAGTCTCCATCTCATTAATTTCACTGTGATCATGAACCTATCTATATGTATGACAAGGTAAGGCTGGGGGATGGTTCATTGGATGAAGCACTTGCTGTGTGAGGGGGAGGACCTAAGTTAAACACCCAGAATTCACATGACCTTGGGTGCAGTAGTGGGCACCTGTAACTCCATGCTCTATGGAGAGATGGAGACAGAGGCAGGAGAATCCCAGGACTCTTGCAGGCTGCTAGTCTGGCATACCCAGCAGTGAACAGTGAAAGACTCTGTCTGCAACATGGTAGAAGGTGAAGACCAGTGCTCAAGGTTGTCCTGTGACGGCCTTGTGCCATGGGTGTGTCATAGCGCCCTCACATCTGTACATGTAAACACATACTCACACATAAAGAGATATATACACTGAACACACACAAACACATACACATGCACACACACACAGCTAATTGATGATGGACAACTTGTTGAAAAAGTTGTCCAAAGTTGTGGTCTCTTTAGTGTATGCACATACTTGATATTTGACAGTCTTTCTATCACACGTGTTTTTTTACGAAATGGAAAGCCACTCTGCACAGTTTCTCTATAGCTGATGTTATGAAAACTCAACACAGCCTCTCCAGTCAATGTATCTGGGTCACTGGTGTCCATTCCAGGAAGGTCACTGGGATTTCTTTCTATCATCGGGATTGCAACAGGGTCATTATTGGAAGACATCTCCAGAGGTTCTTCCTTCCTGTAGAAGGAACAGCAATAGTGAGTTGATGGTCCACACAAGCAACATTATTACACAGCACAGCACACTTCAGGATTGTTTTAAACTGCACAGGCATAGGCAGATTCCTTCTTGATGTACAGTTCATGTGACTGTGATTATCTAAGGACCCAATGAGAAGCAGACGGAACCGAATACATAGACTCTCCTTAGACACCCAATTCCTAAGAAACAAATGAGCCCTAATGAGTAGAGTATAAATGTTATTCATAATTCATAAAGAAAGAAGGGGACAGATGAGGGGGCAGATTTGTCTTACTTCTAAAGCACATTGTGAAACAATGTAAGTTCAGAGACAGATACATGACCATCATTACCACATGCCCTGTGTGTACGTGTGTGTGTGTGTGTGTGTGTGTGTGTGTGTGTGTGTCTGTCTGTCTGTCTGTCTGTCTGTCTGTCTCATTATGGGGTGTAACATATTAATAAGTTGGCATTGCACAGCAATCAGGAGAAATTTCTGCTATTTCCAGACTCAGACTGTGTCTGTGGTCATCAGGCATCTTCAGACACCAAGAAGATGAACTGCTGACAATGACATCATCATTGCTGGAATGGGAATGTTGAAATTCCAGCAAGACTTAGATTTTAAAATGATAATGATTATTGACACCAAACCAGTAGCTAAGCAGTTTAGGACTTTTAAGGAAAACAATACAAATGAAATTTAAATGTCTATTTCACAAATTATTAATGTCTGCTTTAAAGTAAGACCTTTGGTGAACTGAGCTTGTGAAACAGTTTAAAATACCATCTTCAACACAGATAGTTTTATTTCTAAGATCTGACATCTTGGTGGTAAGCTCCTGCCTGTGAGGGACCAGCCGCTCAGCAAGCCTCCTCCAGGAGCAACCTTAAAGCAGACAGGGTGGGAGGCAGCTGTGTGAAGAGCTCTGATGACACCAACCAGAGCAGCCAGGGCTGAGGGACAGCAGCACTGGAGCCAGCCCAGCCCCCTCCTGCCTTCCCTCCTGCCATGGGCACATAAAACCTCAAAAGTGCAGGGCGACTCCAGGAAAGGCAGGAAAACAAAACCTGCTAAACACATCTGCCAGAAGCCCTGTTACTCCTGGGAAAACCATTAGCAATCTGTCACTAGGCAAACATGGATCCTCAGAACAATGGCATGCTCTAAACCCTGTGCCTTGAGGTCCAGAGGGATGAGGCTTTGGGAATTCAGACAAACCAAACTATGGGGCTAAGCCTCTGCCACATTAGTGTGCTTTGCTCAGACATAGCTGAAAGAATGTTAAATCTTTCCTGTTTCAAAAATGTTATCAAACTTTCAATTGCAAATTTCTAGCATGCCAGTAAACATGATCAAATATTCCTAAAGTGAGAACAGAGAAAGAGGTTCACAAGTAATCCAGACTGAGATTAGCAATCATTAATAATATGACAATTGATTGCTACATTCAAAGACAGAAAGGAATTACAGATTTCTTATCACAAGACACAAAACCTATTTTAAAAACCATCATAATTAAGATTTCAGAAATGCATTTAGCAACCACTTAAACACTGATAGATTAAGAAGGAGAACTGGAGAAATACATGACTGATATTGAAATGAAATCCATCCTGAATGAGAATTACCACATGAAAAAAGAAGCTCCAAGTTAAAAAGACAGAGAGCTACATGATAGTGTAAGAAGTCTGCAGGACTTGACAACAGGGTCTGAAGTACCTGAACAAGATCGCCTGTGAGGGGGAACCTGCAGAAGACAACTAGCACCTAGAGAATAAATGGCCTGGCCCTGAGAGGACAGGTCAGTGCATGTTCAGCATGTGTGAGGCCAGGGCAGCAACTCCAAGGTCAAGCAGGCTGCCCTGGTGATAGCAGACTGTCAGGAGGAACCCATCATTCTCTGGAGCCTTAAATCCAGGTTGGGTATTCCACCTGACACTGTCTCCTCCTGCATGCAGAGCAGTACTGGGATAAACTCATTGAATCAATCACCTTCTGTTGCTGGATTATAAGCCTCCCTTGGGGGAGGGGGTGAGAAGGTGTGTTGTCAATGGCACAGACACCAGGTCAGTTGAAGGCAAATAATGAACTCTTATTCACTAAAGGGGTAGGCCTTGTATACCCTCCTCCCAGCACCCAGTCTGTGTGGTCGTCCCTTATTGGCTGGGCATGATCAGGAACTCTGACAGCAACTGTTGCTAGGTCCTCTGGCAGACTCCAGGTTGGCTCATAAGGAGTACATTATGTGGTTACCTTGGCAACTGGTTTGAGCCAATTTCCTTGACCCTATGGGCCTATGCTATTACAATTGTCATGGGGATGCCATGTGAAAAACATGCATGGATACACTCATGTCATCCACATGTCAGAATTACTGAAGAACAATGCATTCGCAAGCTGCATCAACTTTCTTGCTTTTCATTTCTCAACTACCTTCGCTTTTTCTGAGGCTTTGCCTTTTGGCAAGTGTAAACTGGTTCCTTCCAATCCTAATGACTAATATTTTCTCTTGGATCACAGACTGCATTGAACACAGTAATACAAAGTATCAAGAAAGTTTACAGTGGTGCAAGGATTAAAGCAGAGTTGTGGAAGGAAAAACAGAGTTAATACAGCAACAGAGAAAGCTGTTCTGGAACAGGGTGGCCAATAAATACTCAGTTGGTTCAAGGCACAGTGTCAGTTCAAGATCCAGAGAGGGTTCAAGGGGCAGATTGCTCCAAAGCACAGAGCTGACTCCAGGCATAAGGAGTTTGAACAACTGGGAGCTCAAGTGAGTCACTTCCATTAGGGCTGGTCATGGTGAGCAGAAGTACTAAGACGGGATTGAGAGTCTGTTGCCTTGTGTCTAGTGATGCACACATCAGGTGGCCTGATGATGGCTCAGTGTGTATGAATCAAGTGAGGGCATGACAGCGCTCATTGCTCTGGTGTTCTGGACAAGGACACAAGCTCGGTTTCTTGTGCAAGGTCTTCAAACATCATGGGTCTCGGTGTTCCTGGCTTAATATGTTTATAGGTAGGGATAATTTATTTGTATTAATAAGTTATTTATCAATCTATGTCTTACTATCTATGCTGGGCATTTGCACATTTAAGGTACAGATTTATTTTGCCTCAGTATTTGTTTTCAAAATGAAGCAAACCATTGCAGTATAAAATGGAGTCACTCAGGGTAAAGCACACTTTGAAAACTACTGTCCTATACAATACAAAGGAACACAGATGGGCACAGCCCAAGCTCTACACACTCAATCTCTCACAGTGCTAGAACCAGGAGCTTCTATTCTCTGAGTCTGAACTGTGGTGGGTATCCAAAACCATCAAGCACATGTCATGGTGCCCTGGGATGCACTGGGTGGTGGGCAGCCATGAGGGACAGTAGTGCACGTGAGAGTGACTGACAGACACACTCATAACTCAGGCTGTGGAGGCATGAGGACAGGCAGCCCTGCCTCCTGTATTGGGAATGATGTGGTTCCTGTGGATGACTGCTGAGCCTGAGAGTTCTGAGCAGGTGGCTGGCAGATCTTTTGGTTTGTGAAACTGCCTCATGCTGCAATTTATGTGCAGCAGACGTGAGCTGAGAACTCAGAACCCAATGAAAGAATTACTCACTTTCCACAGCTTCTTCCTTCTTACATGGTGTTTTGCTGCTGGATAGGATCTGAAAATGCTTAGGCACACAGCTCAGCTCCCAGGACTTCTCCCCATTGCAGAACTCTATGCTCTGTATGGGATCCCCACTTTCCCCAAAGCAGCTGGTAGACATGGCTTTGCTTAGACAAACCCATAAACAGAAATGCCTATCTGAACTACAGGTCCCAAAGACCTCTAGGGGTAGCAGTGGCAAAGAATATACAAAGAAGTTCTGTAGTGTGAATGATGCTCTGGTACTATATTGTTTTTAACCTCTTGTTCTTTTCTCTTATTCTACTTTTCTTTTTTTCTAATCCTACTTTCTACACCTTTTTGTTGTTGTTTATTTGAGACAGGGTTTCTCTGTGTAGCTCTGGCTGTCCTGGAACTCATTCTGTAGACCAGGCTGGCCTTAAACTTGGAGATCCATCTTCCTCTGCCTTCCAAGTGCTTGGATTAAAGGCATGCACCACCACCTCCTGTTCTTTATTTCATTGTTCCCATTATGATTATTGTGGGAAGTTGGCTGTGATATTGTTACTGTGGTTTATTTTCGCATTCTAACCAGTGCTGGGGATTAAGCCCTCTCTAGAAGGAAGTTACTATACAAACCCTCACTTCAATGTGTAAAATATATTCACTCCCACAGCTGCACAAAAGGAGAATGAAACACAAGAATGTGAGGAAACAATGTGACACAACTTCCTCAAAAGCTCATAACACGACAGCAGCAGAATGGAAACATATTTGATTAGGCAGAATGCTGAGGAAATCATTCAGGAGGTTAACTTCAAAAGGATTGCAACTTCACAAAGAGACAGCTGAAGGAAATAAGCAAAACAATATAGGAAATGAGTGATAAATAGAGAATTTTTAAAAATGGAAATTTTGGAAAAGTTTGCAGATAAATTTTTTTAAAATTCAGTAGAAACCATCACCAACAGACTAAATTAACTGAAAGATAAAAATTTCAGGGCTTCAAAGACAGAGTTAAGTGCTGTGGGATGTCTTTCTGTATACTGTGAATATGTGTTGCTCTGATTGGTTGACAAATAAAGATGCATGGAGTCGGGGGAGATGCCAGCCCACCACCCACGGAGCAACAAGATGCCAGCAGACCAGTAATGCCATGGCCATGTGGCAACATACAGATTACTAGAAATGGGTTGAGTTAAGTTACAAGAGCTAGCTAACAAGAAGCTTGATCCATAGGCCATGCAGTTTGTAAATAACATAAGCCTCTGTGTGTTTACTTGGGACCAAGCAGCTGCAGGACACAAGTGGGAGAGATTTGTCCTGACCACAGGGTTGGGTAGGACCAGAGAAACTTCTGGC